TATGGTGAATCCGCAACCTTTCTCGACGCCAACTAGTTAAGGGGTACTAGGACAAGACTTGGGAACATTTGGAGCATTGAGCTAGGTGGGGAACTCGAGATATTTCGCCTCAAAGTTTACAAATGTCCCAAAAATCTACCAAATATGCCATTTTCTGACCGTTTTGAAAGCTTGGCTTCGGCTCTATGGCGAATCCGCAACTTTTCTCGACGCCAACCAGTAAACGGGTACTAGGACAACACTTGATAACGTTTGGAGCATTGAGCAAGGTGGGGAACTCGAGATATTTCGCCTCAAAGTTTACAAATGTCAGAAAAATCTACCAAAAATGCCGTTTTCGAACATTTTTGAAGCCCTGGCTTGGGCTCAATGGTGAATCCGCAACTTTTCTCGACGCCAAGTAGTTGAGGGGTACTAGAACAACAGTTGAGATCATTTGGAGCATTGAGCTAGGTGGGGAACTCGAGATATTTCGCCTCAAAGTTTCAAAATTTTCTAAAACCTACCAAAATTCCATTTTCTGACCTGTTTGAAGCCCTGGCCTCGGCTCTATGGCGAATCCGCAACTTTTCTCGACGCTAACTAGTAACGGGGTACTAGGACAACACTTAATAGCATTTAGAGCATTGAGCTAGGTAGGGAACTCGAGATATTTCGCCTCAAAGTTTACAAATTTCCTAAAAATCTTCCAAAACTGCCATTTTTTGACTTTTTTGAAGCCCTGGCTTCGGCTCTATGGTGAATCCGCAACCTTTCTCGACGCCAACTAGTTAAGGGGTACTAGGACAAGACTTTGGAACATTTGGAGCATTGAGCTAGGTGGGGAACTCGAGATATTTCGCCTCAAAGTTTACAAATGTCCCAAAAATCTACCAAAAATGCCATTTTCTGACCGTTTTGAAAGCTTGGCTTCGGCTCTATGGCGAATCCGCAACTTTTCTCGACGCCACCCAGTAAAGGGGTACTAGGACAACACTTGATAACGTTCGGAGCATTGCGCTAGGTGGGGAACTTGAGATATTTCGCCTCAAAGTTTCAAAATTTTCTAAAACCTACCAAAAATTGCCATTTTCTGACCTTTTTGAAGCCCTGGCTTCGGCTCTATGGCGAATCCGCAACTTTTCTCGACGCCAAGTAGTTGAGGGGTACTAGAAGAACATTTTAGATCAGTTAGAGCATTGATTTAGGTGGGGAACTCAGGATATTTTGCCTCAAAGTTTAAAAATGTTTTAAAAACCTACCAATAATGCCATTTTCTGACCTTTTGGAAGCCCTGGCTTCGGCGCTATGGCGAATCCGCAACTTTTTTCGACGCCAACTAGTTTAAGGGTACTAGAACAACACTTGAGATCATTTGGAGCATTGTGCTAGGTGGGGAACTCGAGAGATTTCGCCTCAAAGTTAACCAGTGTCTAAAAAAATCTACCAAAATTGCCAGTGTCTGACCTTTTTGTAGGCTTGGCTACTGCTCTAGGCGAAATATCTCGAGTTCCCCACCTAGCTCAATGCTCCAAATGATCTAGAGTCTTGTCGTAGTAGCCCTTAACTAGTGAGCGTCGAGAAAAGTTGCGGATTCACCTTAGAGCCGAAGCCAGGGCTATAAAAAGGTCAGAAAATAGCAGGTTTTTAGAAAAAATTTAACTTTGAGGCGTAATATCTCGAGTTCCCCACCTAGCTCAATGCTCTGAATGTTATCAAGTGTTGTCCTTGTATACCTTTACTATTTGGCGTAGAGAAAAGTTGCGGATTCGCCACAGCCGAAGACAAGCCTTCAAACAGGTCAGAAAATGGCATTTTTGGTAGATTTTTAGGAATTTTGTTAACTTTGAGGCGAAATATCTCGAGTTCCCCACCTAGATCAATGCTCCAAATGATCTTAAGTGTTGTTCTAGTACCCCTCAACTAGCTGGCGTCGAGAAAAGTTGCGGATTCACCATTGAGCCCAAGCCAGGGCTTCAAAAATGTTCAAAAACGGCATTTTTGGTAGATTTTTCTGATATTTGTAAACTTTGAGGCGAAATATCTCGAGTTCCCCACCTAGTTCAATGCTACAAACGTTCTCAAGTCTTGTCCTAGTACCCCTTAACAAGTTGGCGTCGAGAAAAGTTGCGGATTCGCTAAACAGCAGAAGCCATGGGTGTCAAGAACTGAAAATACGGCGTTTTTACCCCTTTTTTCTCAAAAATGGCGTCTCTGTGACGCTTGGATGGTCCTGTGGCACTTTTCCTACCAGAATGCGTCTTTCTGCATTAAGTTAAGTCAGTTAGAACAATAAAATATTTTTTTCCCACTTTTCGATCTTTCATTACACTGTGCACGGCGACTACGGTGCCACGGCTACGGGACGGGCTAGGCCCAGGCACGGCGAGCGCGGCGAGCGTCACGTGGAGGCGGACTCGGCCGTGCGCGCGGAGCGCCGTGCCAGCGTGCCCCGCGGCCGCCCGCGGCCTCATCGGCCAACGTCATCGTCGTCATCGTCGTCATCGCGGCCACAACACTGTAACTCCGGGGCGGACGTCGCGCACCCCTTCCCCCTTCGCGCCGGCCTTCAAACCGCGCGGCACTTCCCCGCCGCGCTCGCGTCCTAGAGTCCTAGATCGCCCGGTCAGGTCTCGGGACCGTCGTCGCGGCCGAGGCTGGTCGCGACAAGTGTCCATACCGCCACGGCGCGCCACGGAGAGCTCGCGTGTACTCCACGACGCCGCGGCCCCGCGGACGCGGGGCGACGCAGGGCGGGGCGACGCAGGGCGGGGCGACGCAGGGCGGGGCGACGCAGGGCGGGGCGACGCAGGGCGGGGCGACGCAGGGCGGGGCGACGCAGGGCGGGGCGACGCAGGGCGGGGCGACGCAGGGCGGGGCGACGCAGGGCGGGGCGACGCAGGGCGGGGCGACGCAGGGCGGGGCGAGGCGGACGACCGCCCTGGTGCTGCAGGTGCTGCAGGGGCCGGATCAGCATGCAGAGGATGCCGCCCACGGCGAGCTCACCTCGGCTCACCTAGGCGGCCTACACACAGTGGGCCAGAAGACCGGAGGAGGCGGCCAAAACTCTAGACACGTTTTGAGCTCCAGAGTCGCTGAACGGGACTCGAACCGAAGGTGTGACCCCACCAATGGGTTGCTCTTCGAACGAGGATTCCATTGGTGGGGTCACACATTCGGTTCAAGTCCCATTTAGCGACTCTGGAGCTCAAATCGTGTGTAGAGTTATGGCCACCTCCACCGGTCTTCTGGCCCACTGTGCTACAGCCCCAAGTCTCATGCCGAGCAGCACTGTCTCTCTCGCACTCGCGAGGCGTCCCGCACGGCGTGCGAGAGAGAGGCACTGCTGGGAGTGAGCTTGCGGGAGGCGGCGCCGCGTGCGGCCGCCCCGCCCGTCCGCCCCGGGCAGGTGGCGCACTGGCCGCAGCGCCTGCACTCCCCTGCGCATCGCTGCCGTTTTGCACTGTACCGCTGTGCGTGGCGCAATGTCCTGCATTTCTTTCAGGCAGCCGAAACAGCTGCTGGGGAAAGACTGCCGTGAGCGCTGTGCTCTCGACGGCCACCCTCGCGCACTCGACGGGGGCGGCAGGCGCCGGGTAGGCAGCGTGGCCAACATCGCTGTGGGCATGTTGCCTGCCCACCCGGCGCTCGCCAGGCGTCAGGTAGGCAGCGTGGCCAACATCGCTGTGGGCATGTTGCCTGCCCACCCGGCGCTCGCCAGGCGTCAGGTAGGCAGCGTGGCCAACACCCTTGCAGGCGTACTGCCTACCGCGCCGGGCGGCCTAGCCTGGCCACCGCCAACAAGGATAGCCACGTGATCTTTACCCCAGCTAGTCGGTCAGTGACGCCGGCCCGCCTGCCGTCTCGTTCCAAATGTCAGGACCCGTTTATGGCCCGGGCAGCGCGTGCGGGCCTGGCGGGCCTGGCGGACCTGGCAAGGGCGGGCAAAACTGGGCGCGGTGCGTGGTTTATTGGCCAATGCAGCACCGCGCCCACCGCGTCGGTGTGTGTATGTGTGAGTGTGTGTGTGGATGTGTGCGCGTAGTCAACCTTGCCGCACCCGCCATCGTGAACCTACCTGACAGCGACGGCCTATACGTCATCTTTTTTTTCCGCGCCGCCGACCGGCGGGGCGCGATCGGTGCATGAGAATAGGTTGCTGCCCATAAGAACGGCGCCGCCTTGTTTCTCATTTGCAAGTCGCGTGTCACTATTCGCAGAACGGCGCTATTAGCAGGGCGGCGCCTCACCGTGTTGCGAGAGGCGGTTGCAGCAGTGTGGGGGCTGGGCGGGGCTGGGCGGGGCGGGGCGGGGCGGGACGCATATCGGCCGCATCTGCACGGCCGTTGCGCGGCTGCGCGGCGCTCCAGCCTTTCCGCGGCACCTAGCGGCGAAGCGGCGCCCTGGACTCGGCGTCTGGGCACGCGTCCACGCGTCGCTGCGGATAATTGCTGTATCACTGCCGCTATTCGCACGACGAGGGAGGAAAGGGCGGCCCGGCGGGGCTGGCCCGGCCTTGGCGCGATAATCTGACGCCGGCAACTCGGCCGCCGCTTCGCGCAACCCGCAACCCGCACCGGGGCGGAGCGGAGCGGGTGGAGCGGGCGGAGACTGACCGACGCCGTGGCTGCAACTTCTTACGATGAGATGGGACGGCACAAAAGGAGGCCTTGTCCTCTTCGGCGGCCCGGACGGCGGGACGGCGGAACGAAGCATGAACGGCAAGCCACCGCCGCCCGCAGTTTGGTGTCGATGCGCGCGATAGATTGGTGGCCATGGAAAGCCACCCCGGGGCGGGCGGGCCGGGCTGGCCGGGGCAGAGAGAGTTAATGCAACACGTCTGCAGACTGCAGACTACCGACTCCGCCGAACTCCGTGGGACTTTCCGCCGGCCGATCGTCCCCGCGATAAAGTCGCGACGAAGAATAAGACGGGACGCGCAAACCGCGAGGCGGATCACTGTGGCTTGCGAGGCGCGTCAAAGAAGCGAACCGTAAAAACACGAACACTTTCTGTTCCAGATACAACATGAAGACCGTCGTGGCGTGCTGCGTGGCGCTGCTGGCGGCGTCCTGCGCCGCGTCGCCCCTGCCCGACGACGGCGTCGAGGTCAAGTTCGAGCCCGCGGCGTCCTCGGAGGTGGAGATGGACGCGCAGATCGCCGGCCTCATCCAGGTGCGTCTTGGAGTCTTGGAGACGCCGGGGAATAGACGCGGACTTGGCGGCGCGTCCAAATCACGCGCCACGCGCTCGCCGGCACGTCCCGTCCGTCCCGTCCCTCCACTGCAGCAGCGGTCGCGCGGTCACGGCCTTGCGCCTGGCGCGTCTCAACTTGCCGCCAACGTGTCCCAATCGGCGCGTCTTTGTGCAGGCCAAGCAGGGCACTAACGCACGCCACGCCACGCCGCCACGCCACGCCGCTGGATCGGACGGCCAAACCTAACGCAATTGCAATGGGGCGAAATGACCTCCTTTCCAGGCCGGCCGCGCTGCCGCGCTGCCGGGCTGGGGGCTGGCCGCGCAAACGGCGGCTACTGCTTACATTCACCGTCCAAGGCAAAGCGAAACACGCCCCGCCCCGCTCCGCCCCGGCCCGGCGGTGTCCATCGGCCTCACAAATTGCCTGCATATTCGTATGGTTCGCGGTTCGCGGCGGTTCGCGGCGCCACCTCGCTGCGGTGGCCGCGGCACGTGCGGCGCTCTGTCTCTCTCGCACCCCCGGTGGCCCCGCCGGCCCTGCGGCACGCCCCGTGAGTGCGAGAGAGACAGAGCTCAGCGCCGACGCGGGGAATCACCGCGGCTAATTGGCCATTAGTCGCGATTAAATAATCACACGTCTTAATGGCGGCGCCGCTCGCGGGGCTTCCCTCTCTCCGTGTCCGTCTGCCACCGCAGAAACTGAATTCCCCTTCTCTTTTCTTCGCAGCAAATCGAGCAGCTGCAGGGCCTGACGCCGCGCGAGAAGAGGGCGGTGAGTGCACTGCTGGGGGTGAGTGAGTCAGGGAGAGCTGAACGCACGCGGCCGCGGAAAGAGCCGGGCCACAGTGGGCCAGAAGACCGATGGAGGCGGCCAAAACTCCAGACGCGTTTTGAGCTCCAGAGACGGTAAACATGCCTCGAACCGAACGTGTGACCCCACCAATGGAGTCCTCGTTCGGAGAGCAATCCATTGGTGGGGTCACACGTTCGATTCGAGGCCTGTTTAGCGACTCTGGGGCTCAAAACGCGTCTGGAGTTTTGGCCGCCTCCACCGGTCTTCTGGCCCACTGTGCGGGCTCGAGTCGCGCAGCTTCGCTTGCTCTGCTCAACTCGTGGGTCACAAACCCTCCTTGTTCGTCGTTCCCTCCAGGGCGGCGGCGGCGGCAGCTTCCTCAACGAGCTCAACAAGGGCCCGACCTACTCGCAGCTGCTGGGCAACAGCGGCGGCGGCTTCGGCAGCAAGCTCGGCATCTTCAGCAGCCTGCTGGGCAGCTCCAGCGGCGGTGGGGTAAGTATCCCCGTCACTCGGCCTTTCTCGCACTCATCCGCCCGCAGGCCGTAGGTGCGAGAGAGACAGAGCGACGTAGCTCTGTTCGGAACCGGACTACCGCCGTCCCTGCCCTTCCCACTCCTTCCGGGCCGGACGCCCGGACGGCCAGACGGACTCCCAGACGGCGTGACGTAACGACGTAACGGCGCACCGTAACACCGCCGCGGCCTTGACCGTGAGGCGCGGCGCGGCGGGGCGGGGGCGTGCGGGGCCATGGCGTTACGTTGCGGCCCGCACCGCGTCGCCCTGCCCGTCCTGCCGGTGCTCCTCGCTGCAGCAGCCGGGCTCGTGCCCAAACGCCTCATCCCGGCACTTTGCGGCTTGCCGCGCTTGCCGCTTTCTCTGGCCGGACCTGCCAGACCCCGCCGGACCAAGCCTCGACTCACTGGGGCAGGATCTGCTTCCGCGCCCGGCCAGCTCGGAGGAGCGGGGAGCCCCCTCCCCCTCCCCGGCCACCGACTCGCACTCCACACTGTCACTCTCGCACTCATGGGGCGTCCCGTGGAGATGCGAGAGAGACGGGGCGACGAGTTCGGAGTCTGCCTGCTGGCGCGTGTGGCGGCGACTCGGCGACTCGGCGGCAACGTCCCTCGTGATCTAACCCGCCGCCGCGGGGCGGGGCGGGGCGGGGCGGGGCGGGGCGGGGCGGGCGGGGCGGGGCGGGGCGGGGCGGGGCGGGGCGGGGCGGGGCGGGGCGGGGCGGGGCGGGGCGGGGCGGGGCGGGGCGGGGCGGGGCGGGGCCAGCGGGGCGCGCCCCCTTTCCCAGGACATCTCTCGCCGCGGGGGCCGTGGCCCGGGGCCGGCGGTGTCAAACAGTCGCACGCCGTGTTTCAAGTTTCAACACATCTCCTTCTCCCCTTGAAGGCCGGTGCGGGTGGCGAGGCTGGTGCCGGCGGCGGCAGCGACTCCGGCTCCATCCTGGGCCTCATCACGCCCCTCCTGGGCAGCAGCAGCGGCGTAAGTACTCCGGGTGTGGGAACGGGACGGCCCACCGGCCCCGCCGGTTCCGGGTACAAACCAACACAACCAGCAGCAATCTCATCCATTTTAACAAAATTCTATACCATGCAGCTTGTGGAGTTGGAATGCAGTTAGAAAGAAAGACTTCTCCCGCGACTCTGAGGTCGTGGCCAAAATGCGTGAGCATTGGAATGGTCTAATTCGAAAGCCCAACTTGTGCTGCACTCTGATTCCCACCAGTGCTAGTCTCTCTAGTACTCGTACGGCGTTCCGTCGGGGTGCGAGGGAGACAGGACGACGAAACGCCGTTCGGAATGAGAATCAGACTGCTGCGGTGACTGGTGCGATCGTGGGGCAATGCGCCGCCTGCTCTCATCGAGTCCACGGTGACAGCCTCCCCCCCCTCTCCCCGCAGCTACCCGCAATAATGTCGCACGCATTGGTCAGCTCGGCGTAACCGTGTCGGCACTATAGCACCACAGCACGCTCTCCATAACGCGGCCTACTTGACGCGGCGCCACTCCTTGCCTGACGCTTTGCTTTTGTTGTGTTGCTTCATGTTTGCTTGCTCCTTGCCGCACTGCGCCCCGCCTCGCTGCTTGCCGCACAGCCCATCTCCTCCGCCCTGATAAACCTGGGCCTCGTGCCCTTCGACCTCCCCGGCGGCGGCGACTTGCCTCCCGGTGCGGACGCGCCGGACGCGCCCTCTGGCGGCGCACCCACCGCGCTCGAGCTCATGCCGGACGGCGAGGACGACACGGCCAGGATCGGCGTCACGGAGGACTCCACCGTGAGCAGCGACTCGGACTTCCCCGACCTGGTGAGGCAGCGAGGCGCCGACGCCACTGGCCCGGCCCCGCTGGGCATTACGCACTCCCCGCCACGCTTTGGCTTGGCTCCTCTGGGTTGGTCACCGCGGGTCACCGCGGGTCACCGCCTCACCGGCGGTCATCGGCGTGCTTGCGGTTCGCGGCCTCACTCGCGACCTCGGGTCCCGTTCTGCTTACAGAGCAGCTCCGGCGGCGCAGGGGCCGGAGCGTCGGCCAGCGCCGGCGCGTCCCTTGACGGCGGCGACGGCGGCGACCTCAGCGCCTCGGTGGGCGCGTCCCTCGACGGCGGTGACCTCGGCGGCGGCGGCGGCGGCCTTGGCGGCGCCAGTGCGGGGGCGGCGGGCGGCAGTGACTCCGGCTCCATCCTGGGACTCATCACGCCACTCCTCGGCAGCAGCAGTCAGGTAGGGCTGTTGGGCTCAAAGGCCGGAGGGAAGGCACGGGGGTGCACGCCTCTAGCCGGGCCATCGTCGCTCTATCGCTCTCGCACCTCTACGGGACGCCCCATGAGTGCGACGGAGACAGAGTGACGAAACGGCTGTAGGCGCTGGGTAGGCATCCCTGCGCCCCTGGGGAAGTACCAGTTCTGACCGCCACTCGTTCCAAAGGGCTCCGCTGGGGACGGCACGGCGTCCGCAGGAGGCAGTCCGGGTGGATCGGTAAGCAAGACGGAGTCTTTTCCTTTTGCCTTGCTTCCAGCCGAATGCACGCCGTTCATTGCCCTGACATAATAGAGAGGGGTCCTTCCCTCAGACGATCACGCTTGCTCCGCTATAACCGAGCTTCTGTTCGATCGCACTAACGCACGCTTCTTTTGATTTTCGCCTTGCTGTACGTTCGCTTTGTGTCTCCAATGCAGGGAGGAGGATTCTTCAGCACTATCCTCTCGGTAAGCAGTTTGAGCGCTTCCCTGCTGTGTATTGGAGACACGTGCTTTCCTCTCATTGCTCTGTGCGGTCTTTAATAATGGAACATTTGTGCCCTCAGATCAAGTCCTTCATCTTCAGGAAGATTGTTCAGCTGCTTGGTTCGTCGTCCGGGAGCCCCCAGGCTGGATAAGAGCTTTCCGTCGGTAGAAATACAAAGGGGATAATTTCAAATTGACTTGGTTCTTTGTCCGGGAATCAAATGTGATATGATATCAATATACAAATATCTAATAGATTGATATGGTTTAGATTGTTATCTTAATGCGGAATATTAAGGTTTGACCTGTGTTCATGCACACTCTAAGAGATTCAGACTAGAATACAGCCATGACCTATGCATTTGTCAATTAGGTGTGCACTTCAATGAAAGAGGATCATGTCTGTAAGAGTCTTATTAATTATGAACAACTGTGATACTGTATGCAAAATGTATACCAATGAAAATAATGATGCACCTTCACATTAACTTACATTTGAGTTGAAGTTAAGTTAGACTGAATAACTCCTGGCTCACTCCAAAAACATGAATTGCCAGAAAATGTTGTTGGCAATATAAATTAAAGGAGAGCATTCTTTATACTGCATAGTACATAGTTCATACAGTTATTTTTTTTCCTGCATATTTATGTCACCATCATAGAATTCATCCTTACATTTACCTGTCGTCACCATCTTATCATGCAGTAGGTTACTTCAGGAAAGAAAGAAAAAGGATCCGTCTCTTTTGTCATCATTATTGATTGGCCGTTTTTTTAGACCACAACAGTTTTATTATTTTACTTTGAGAGAACCAAACATCATAAATAAATGATCTCAAGTCATTCAAATTGCTCACCCTATATGTAAGCAAATTGCTTACAGCAACTAGTTGCCTGGTTAACATCGAGTTGTCTAAACTGGGAATTACCACATTATTTTGTAAATTTAAGACTTAAATAAACATGTATATAAAAAATACAGCAACAATTTATTTTGTTTATACTCCACTGTTTCAAACCATGTACACAGAAGGCATGTCATGCTTAAACAAAATCAGTCATGAGGTCAATGAGATTTTCAGAATCTCCCGTGAAACACCTGTAATGATGAGGAGAAAGTAGAAGAGATTCTAGTTATAATTACAGTTTTTCTCTCTTAGTTTCTTATGCTTTGAAAATCACAATAGAAATTATTTTTTTACCTGAGGAACATTTCCAGCAAACTTCACTTTTAAAGGAACTATCATGCTGCAAAGCAGTTTCAAATTGTCTTGTACCTCCTCCAACTCCAAAATAATAGGTTTTTGCAGCTAAATATCTAAACTGGAGCTAAGGATGTTCCAAAATTAATACCAAACTTGATAATATCACTTGAGAATAAAGGTGAGTAAAAGATAAAGGATACACAGTGCCTGAATTTTTTAGGCACTTCTTGAAAACATTGATGAGCTTGGAATAATTTTCTGAATTGTATATGGTCTCAGAGGTCAGTATGTAGTCAAACTTCAACATCTCTGTTCGTCCCTCTTGAAGTTTGTCAACAAATGAAGACCAATCACCACTGTAAAATTCACAACTTGATTTGCCCTGGCTGTCAATTAAACTTTGTGATTCTTCATCTGTTAGGTTCAATAGTACATTTGGAATGGTACAAGCATCTAAAACTTCCTTGTTCTAAAAACAAAAAAAACACACACAAATAGAATGAAAATAAAAATAATTAAATCGATGTGCGATGTGGACAGAAATGAACTTCCCATAATTACTTACATAATCTTGAAAAACAACACTTGCTCCAGCTTTCAATGCAGCGATGCCGAGTAGACCTGTTCCACATCCCAAGTCTAGAACATTTTTGTTGCTCAGACAGACGTTGGGACCTGCAGCGATGAGCCATCCTAACAAGTCATCAGTGCATTCCCAAATTTTTAATCCTCCTGTAAATCCACAAAAAGTTTAAAATTTGTCCACCATGATAATTGACAAAATAAAATGTCCTACATCCTACCTTCATATTTTGCAGGTATCAAATCTGAGTGAAGTTGCTCAGCCAATTTTATGCTGCTGTCTCCATCAGATGTCTCAAAGGCAGATTGAACGGCTGACTTTGTAGATAAATGTGCCAAAAAAACACCCTGGAGTTTTAACTGACTTGCCGAACTCTGCCGTGTAAGCATGTGCTTCAGATGTGAAGGCGACACAGTAACTTTTTCACATGACAACCAGTGTAGGTTGTTGGTATTGGATGACACAGATTCTCCTAAAGCAAAGAAATCGCATATTTTGTGTTTCTTTAATCTGGTAAATAAATCAACAGGTTAGAGGCATTCGGCAAAATATTTTCAACATAGACAATTTACCCGCATTGCTCTCCTGATCATCACCATCAGGTTTGGGAAAAGAGAATTTGAACATGATAAGATATCAATTGTCACTATATCGATGTCAATGTCAATTACGAAGCGTATTCGTAAGGGAAACAGCAAAATTCAAACCCATGCCTTTGTTTACGTTCCCCAGCAGACGATGTTCTTTTCTGCAAATAGCGTTTCTGTCATGCGCAGTGCAAAGTGACGGTGGCGCGCTCTTACGGGCTCTCTCCTCACGTCTCTCCCACTCTCTCTCTTCTCTCTCTTCTCTCTCTTCTCTCTCACTCCTTCCTCTCTTCTCTCTTCTCTCCCCTCCCTCCCCCTTCCTTCGTCCTCCGTTCGTCGTCGTCGTACGTTCATCAACATGGCTGCTGTTGCGGACGAAGTTAAAAAAGTTGAGGCTGAGGCCTTTAAAGATGACGGTAAAGACGAGATTGAAGATGTTGAACAAACTGGTGAAACAGACCAGAAAAAGAAGAGGAAGAAAAAGAAGAAGAAACCTGGTGAGAATTATTTTAACAATGTTCTGAAACGTGCCTCCCTCCAAGCGCACCCGGTTTGGTTAGTTTCACGCATTACCATGTGTCTGTGACCATGTGCAAGTACCACATTCCATAAAGACGGCTCTTTTGCATCAGACGTCGCACTGACATGACCGAAAAGATTTGTGTTCTGTCACTGCCTTTCCCAGATAATTGAGCTTCAAAGTTTGTTGTGTGAACCATTCTAATCTTATTGGGAAGGAACAAGGCTTTGTTGGTAGGAACTATGCAGTGTTTCCCTCGGTTTTACAGTAAAATTTTTAATTTGTTTTGTCGTTAAATGCTTAATCCAATTTATTGTTGTTAAATTAGTAGCCTTCACTATGCCCCTTGCTAATTACCGATTCTATTGATAAGTTTTCCATGTTCTCCACCTGGTACTGTAGTTTTACAGTAAGTGTTTTCCTTTTGCAGCTGGTGAAGAGAATTCTGCAGAATCAAATGCATTGACTGAGAAGCTAGCTGCTGTTGAATTAAATGGCCAACAAAATGGCGAAGCCAATGACACCACTGGTATAAATTTCTTAATTTTTAAAAACTTTTTTGCTGTATGTTACTTTTTTACACTTTAAGTATTTGGTTTACTCTCTGTTTTTACCTTGCAGGTGGGGAGGAAGCAAAAAAGAAGAATAACAAGAGAAAGAAAGGGAAGGGCAAGACTAATGGCCAGACAGATCCTCCCTCTATTCCAATTTGTGAACTATTCTCAGACGGTGAGATATGACCTCCTATTTGTGCATTGTTTTCACAATGTATTCACAGTTGAACTTGTTGAAACAATTTTTCTCTTTTGTGCAGGTGTGTATCCTATTGGTCAAATTATGGATTACCCACCTGTGAATGACTCCAGATCTGCAAAGGACAGGTTTACAAGTGAGGAAAAGCGGGCCCTTGATCGTGCTGAAAATGATATTTACAATGAAGTGCGGCTTGCTGCAGAAGCACATCGTCAAGTTTGTTGGATTTTACTATTATCAATAATATTAAATCTGTTAGACCCTATAGTTTTGCCCAGAATATTTTTTGAAAGTGCACATTTATTTTTAGACACGCAGACACATGCAGCAGTGGATAAAGCCAGGCATGACAATGATTCAAATCTGTGAAGAATTGGAAAGCACTGCAAGAAAGCTTATCAAGGAGGATGGGTTGAAAGCTGGACTTGCTTTCCCTACTGGCTGCTCACGAAACCATTGTGCTGCTCACTACACTCCTAATGCTGGAGACACTACTGTCCTAGAGTATGATGATGTTACCAAAATTGATTTTGGTACTCACATTAATGGTAAATAGTTCTTTTGCCAACAGGTCAGTTCTTGCTCAACTTTTCAGTTTGTCTCATATATCAATCATTTTTTCAGGACGTATTATCGACTGTGCATTCACTCTTTCATTCAATCCTAAGTATGATAAACTTATTGAAGCTGTTCGTGATGCCACGAACACTGGGATCAAGGTATTCTTAATGTTTCTTCAATGTGTTCATCAGCTGTTTTAAAACTAGAACTAACAATCTTCTTCGATTTTAGGCTGCTGGAATTGATGTTCCTCTATGTGAAATTGGAGCTGCTATCCAAGAAGTTATGGAATCATACGAAGTAGAGCTAGATGGAAAAACTTATCAAGTTAAATCCATTCGAAATTTGAATGGTCACTCAATTTCTCCTTATCGTAAGTCTTCTAAATTATTTTTCTGTCGCATTTTCTAGGTTCTGGTGTGTGTGGAGTCTATCTTAATTGCTCCCTTTGCTGTCAGGTATCCATGCTGGTAAAACTGTCCCTATTGTGAAAGGCGGTGAGGCGACTGTTATGGAAGAAAATGAGTACTACGCTATTGAAACTTTTGGCTCTACTGGACGTGGCCAAGTACATGACGATATGGAGTGCTCTCACTATATGAAAAACTTTGATGCAGGATATGTTCCTCTTAGGTAAATTGTTTTTGTTTTTTTTATTAATCAATGACACCTCTTTTCATGAAACAATTTACGAGTATTGGCATGATTTGAATCTACTTTCCCTATTTTTCAGGCTTCAGACATCTAAATCACTTCTTAACACCATCAATAAGAATTTCTCAACTTTGGCCTTCTGTAAGCGGTGGTTGGATCGGTTGGGCTGCACCAAGTACCAGATGGCTCTGAAGGACTTGTGTGATAAAGGTGCTGTTGATGCTTATCCACCTCTCTGTGATGTCAAGGGATGCTACACTGCTCAATTTGAACATACAATTATGTTACGCCCTACCTGCAAGGAGGTTGTCAGTCGTGGTGATGATTATTAAGTATTTTTCCATCATTCTTTTGATTCTATCAACTGATGTAAGCGTATTTTTGATTCTGGCCCTTCTTAGGATCTCCAGAGTATCATTTTGGGTGCATACCTTGTTGAATACATTTAATTGTGTTACCTTGCCAACAGACATTTCTGGTGAAGTTTTCACCAGAAATAAATCATTGTTGCACAGTGTTTGAGTGATTTGAAATGTGATGTCCTCAGCCCATCCATTGAACTTCATACTTCACAGAACCTTTCTTAATTCAATTCCTTTTAAGGATATGTAACTGCTATTGATTAAAAAAAAAATATACAATTTTATATCTGTTCTGTATGAAGTTTGCTCATATTTGTGCCATGTTTTAAAGATGGTTGAATACCCTACCCCATAATCCATGCATTTAATTAATTGTTTCAGTGCTGGCTTCAATCAGCAATTGAGTACAAAAGTAATATTAAAACAATTTGAACAATGTATTGGAGCCATAAAATTGCGTTCTTCTCCTCTTGAAATTTCTCCATTTAGACTATTTGGAATGGTTGGGATTGTCCCTTCCACAGTGAAGTGAGGTGTTACTTACTTAAGTCTGTGATGTCTCAATGGGTGAAGTCATTTTCCCTCCAGGATTAAGGGTCCGTGAGAGGCACCACCCGTGTATGGCTCTCTGAGACCCCTGCTCTGGGTGCAATTTATTAATGTAATGTACCTTTTCCTCCGTGATCCTGTCTTTCTTATGTTCTGAGTGGTTCTAATTATCATGTGTACCATTTGAATAAAAATGTGTGAAACCAGTTCTTTTTCTCATTTCCTGAACCCTGTCATTCTTTCTTAGAAGTTTGTGTCTTTGGTTTTAAATGCCTGGAAGTGATAAGTCGCTATCAACAAATTTTTATAGTGCCCTTGCATTTAAACCAACTCGAGGAAATGGGTCTATGTTAATTAATCAAACCTGATTCAACTTGTCAATTGGCCTACTGTCAAAGAAATAAGAATTGATCAGTGCGCACGATCGTTTTTAACGCAAATGTTGGTAATGATACGCGCCACTTCTTCGTTCGTGTTGGCCTGTTGGCAGCGAATTTCATTGTCAACCTGCCCCCTCTCCTGCCCTCTCCCTCCCCCGACTCCCCTTCCGCCCTCCTCGCCCGCCCTCCGCTCACTCCGCTCGCTCCACCCACTTCGCGTTCAACATGCTCAAATCTAACATGGCGGCGGCCCGTTTGTCCCCTTCATAACAGGTAACCGACCCATTGTTAACTTCTGGCCGTCACAAGATGTCACGCATCAATCCTGAAACGTACTCAAAGAACCTCAGAGCAAGGACTTGGGCGTGCTGATTTTTTTCTACGTTGTCTGTTTCTGTTGTCAACTTTTTACTGTTTGTTGATGGGTGATGTGCTGGGAGCTCTGTCGTATTTGACAGGTAAATTTTGCCCCCAACGATTTGTCTGTGTGCTTGTTCTGAAAAATGTTTTATCACTTCTTTTCCGAAATTATCACTTGGATCCTCTCTCAGACATAAGGTTGTGTTTGCCCAGATATTTCGTTTCTTTTTCTGGGCATTCTGTCATGCCTCTCAGTGGTCGCCCCGGGGATCTCATGTGTTCTCAAGTGTATTGGCACCTGGCGCATATGATAGTCTTTTCAGATGTTAGCTCTCATTCCATGTGCACAGTTATCTTGCCAGATAAATGTTGCCAATGATCTATTGTTGGATGATTGACATATGGACTCAACAGGAGCTATCTGTTTGTCTTATGACCCATGTCTTCTCATGAAGGTCCTACCATTTCTTTCTGCTAGCACTTCATAACCTTCACTTTTCTCTCCTTTTGTTACAGGAAATGGGAAGAAATTATTAATCTGTGCCATATCATAAACAATTGGGCCTTACATACTTCATAAATTGCATTTTCAATTTACTGTGATATTAACGGGTATTTAAGCTACATGAAGGAAGAGGGAAATTAATACTCCGTATACAGCTTGTTTTGTGTGCTTCCCTAGTCTGGAAGATATAAAGAAACTTCAAATGTTTTGAGGCTGAAGAAACGGCCTATCTTCTTATGAGCAGTCATCATCTTTTTACTTTTGTGGAACATTGGAAAGTTTTAGTACAAATACCTGAACACAAGTACAAATGCAGATTTGGATGAATTTTTGTAGCCATTGCTGGTGAAACTTGAATATTTCTGTGGCATATTAACTGTTCTCCAAAATGTATCATGCACCAATGTATCCTCACATGGTGGTTCAAGTTGGGCAGCAGGGTCACTTCCACCCACTTTTGGATGCCTCCCACCGACAAAACCGTGGGCCTTCAAATTTGCCTCATCCAATGAGTCACTATGAACAGGGGGTATGTGTTCTCTTAAAATGTGATCAATAGCTTGGCCTGTATCCTTGATTGTAGGGTTGTAATCCAATTGAATTATTCCAGTTGTTTGGCGTTGAAAATATTCGCTCTAGTCAGAATTACAATGGACGGAACTCTGGCAATAGCAACTTAAACAATTGTCCTGTCACTGGAAGTACTGGCAATAATATGGCTAGTAATGGACCTTGGCGTATTCCCATCAATGTGATGGGTCCTCCACCAATGCAGAGACAAATAAATAACGGCTCAATGAAGAAGGGCTATTGGGCAAAGAGTTCTCATAGGTAAGTTTGTTCGTATGAGGTGCAGAAGTATTATTTTAGGTGAACCCTATCTCAGAACTGAATGCATCGTTTTGACTCTGCAGGTCAAGTTCTCATGAAGGTCCACCACGAGGCTCACACACTGAGGCGTACAGTTCAGACAGTGGGTTTTCTTCGAGATCCCCTACCCCTAGCAGCCAGCAGGTTTCACCTAGCAGTTGCAAGAGCAGCAGTAGCAGCAGCAATGATGAAGACACCACTTCAGCAGGGGGTGAACCAGCACCTAAACCATCTAGATTTAAAGGCCAGACTCCTGGGGGTGATGGCAACAAGTGAGTATGGTAGCAGAATTAAGTTGAAGTTAGTGTATCAGGCTTGTTGCTTTCTAATCAATTCAACACCTTCATCTGGATATTTCACTTTTTCAGACGTCCAGAATGCTACCCCAACTTCTACCAGCCATACTTCCCACCGGGCGGTGAATTTATGGGACAGTTGGGTGTTCATCAAAATTGCTCGCCGCACTTTCATCATGCTCATCCCCACCACCATCACGGCCACCGTAATCAGGTCCAGCATGAACCAAACATTCCCAGTTTCCACCAGCATACCCAGCACATCCCAGTGCATCCGCAGCCACAGCGTCGGTGTGAAAGCCTCACTAACTTGTCCCAACAAGGAGCTCCTAATACTCAGGGCAAGCGCAGGTACCAATCTAGTCGCCACTCTCCACCTGCCAATTTTAGGAACTCCAACAGAGGAAGACGAGTTCCTTCAGGTGAGCCGTAGTATTTATTGTATCTTAACCTTTCAGTATTGGTTGTGTGCTTTAGATTTTGAATGATAATAGCTTCAGCTTCATGGTTATTGTAGATGTTAATATATGGTTTTGCACCAGGCACAATGGTTCACAGCACTTCTGGCTTCAGTGCACCTGATCGATTCCTGCAGCGCTCACACCTCATGTATATCACAAATAAACCAACCGATCTCCTTGCAGGCAATGAGTGGGATGAGGTTTGTGCTCTCTTTTCTGTGCTAAAATGGCCAAATTTTTCTTGCCTTTACTAAACAGGCAATAAAATGCTTTCAGGTCTCAGCTGCAGTGTGGGACAAGTTTGTTCAGAACCAGCAAACAGAAGATGTGTACAGGAATAAAATGGATTTATGGAAAAAACTCTTTTACCACATAAAGGTGATGTTTTGTTTAAATCTGTTCTGAATTTTGAAAAATTTTGTTTGACCTCTCTACTTAACTCGTCCTTGTTCTTCAGGGATTTTACCCAAGGTATGGCCTTTTCCTAGTTGGATCGACAATTAGTGGCTTTGGTAGCAACCAAAGTGACATGGACATGTGCCTCCTCGTACGCCATACAGAAATGGATCAGCGTATTGAAGCAGTTGGACATTTAGAGCGCGTTCTAAAATGCCTACGCCAGTGTTGTGAGTACTTGGTTTTATTTTCAAATTCAAGAAGCGGTTTGAGGGAAAACTTTTTAACTAACTTTTTCTACTGTATGGTGATTTCAGCTTTTATCAAAGATGCTGATTTAATCCAAGCTAAGGTACCCATATTGAAGTTCAGAGATGCGGAACATAATTTAGAAGTAGATTTGAACTGCAACAATGCAGTAGGCATTAGAAATACCCACATGCTGTTCTGCTATGCTCAGAGTATGTATTTTGTGATCTCTCAATTCTATGTATTTGCAACTGAACTTATTGTATTCTGTGACACTTCTTTAACGTTCATCTTATTTTTTCCTGCCTCTCTTTTTGTAATGTCTGTAAACAGTGGACTGGAGGGTTCGACCTCTTGTTTTGGTCGTGAAGTTGTGGGCAACTGCAAAAGGTATTAATGATGCCAAAAATATGACTATTTCATCATATTCCCTTGTACTTATGGTCATTAACTTCCTGCAATGTAAGTGGCGTGTTTTATTGTCAGTTTCACTCTATTGTAGTTATTGTTCAGCACTAATTGATCTCATCTTACATTTAAGGTGGAACGAGTCCTCCAGTGCTACCCTGCCTCCACAAGCTACACCCATCCAAGTTCCAGCCTCACACTGACCTTCACTTCATTGATCTCCATGAGGAACTGCGACCAGTCAAGTCTGAAAATCAGCAAACTTTGGGAGAGTTGCTTTCTGCGTTCCTAGAATACTATGCCCAATTTGAGTAAGTCATTAGAACCTATGTCTAGTGTCACAGGTTGAATATGTTTGTCATTCATTTAAATGATTTTTTTCTTTCAGTTACACAAAGGATGCCATATCTGTGAGGACAGGAAGTCTGCTTTCAATTGAAGAATGCCGACATGCAAGAAGTTTTAAGAATGATCCTCATCAGTGGAAGTACCTTTGCATTGAAGGTAGGTGTAAAATAGTTAAATGTTCAATGCACCCTGTTTTCATTGTACTTTTTCTAATTGATCATCCTTTTTTTGGGTTTGTCTATGAGCAGAACCATTTGACTTGACGAACACAGCTCATTCTGTTTATGATCCTGAGGCATTTGAGAAGATAAGATCTGTGTTCAGATCTTCTTATGAGGCTCTCAAAGAAGTTCAGAACCTTGATGTCATATTTAGTCTACCAGAGAGCAAGGAAACAGAGACATCACAAGAGCCACCACAGAAGCCAACTCAATTGCCATCACAAGTGCCATTGCAGGAGCTACCTCACATGCCACCTCAGGAGCTACCTCTGGAAATACCTCAGGAGCTACCTCTGGAAATACCTCAGGAGCTACCTCAAGAGGTACCTAAGGAGCTACCTCAAGAGGTACCTAAGGAGCTACCTTTGGAGCCTTCCCAGGAGCCACCCCAGGAGCCACCTCAGGATTCACCTCGGGTGTCATCACAAGAGTCATCACAAGAACCTTCAGATTAACTTTCTGTACCACCTCGCTCGAGCTTGAGGATTAAAGTTGTTTCTGAAATTCCTCTTTGACTTGTGGTAGTTAGTGATTGCAAGTTGACGGAGCATTTGTTGGGTTGTTACTGGCTTTACATGTGCATCTCCAAAAATGTGTACGGATACAAATTTAATTTTATTTCAGGAGTTCCTTGTGTGTCTAGTCCAAATGGTGTATTCAAACTTAAGTTTTATTTTTTTATGTTAAATTGTATGTTATATTTGACATTCCATTTTGGACTGAACGGAGCCAGTGATCTGAGTTATTATACGATGCCTGGCGCAACTTTTTGAGGAACCAACTAGTGGACAAGTTCTAATGCATTCCAATTGAAACTGAACTAGTCAACTATGATATTGTGGACTGCGAACAGAACTAGTCAACTCTGATATTGTGGACTGTGATGTCAACTTTAAGTACTGTGACTTGTGAACTTTGCTATTCTCATTGTGCCAGTGCTATGTAATGCGAACAAGTGCTTATCTTTGAATCTGAAGCAGTTCTTTTGATTCGTTGAAGGTACAAAAGCATTTAAATTTTAACTTCTTTTTATTTATATATCCAATATACAGTCATAATTTGCTATAAAATGATTTTGCAAGTTAGACTGTTTTGACTGGTGCCAAGTACATTGTAATATTTGGAAAAAAAAAATACTCAAAAGAAAAGAAAAAAGTATAAAAGACAAAAAATTTTATTAAAAAAAAGAGAGAAAAAGATGTTTATTTGTACGACAGTTGTTATTTATTGAGGGATAAAGTGTTTGTTGAACAAGACGAACTAGTTCTTCTTATATGTATGTGTGAAAAGTGTGTGTGTGTGTGTGAATGAGTGTGTATCATGGGTTTTACCTGTCTGCTTTCTAATGATACAAAATTCCAAGTCCTTTCTACATTTTTAAGAGAAAAAAACAACAAATTGTTGGTGCTGTGCGCCAGTTTAATTGTGCTGCATTGTCAATGTTTCTTTTTAATAATATGATTATGTACCATGTTCACGTTAGAAAGGTGTTTATACTTGCATATGGTCAGATGCAGTGTGAGGCTGGTAATTGTCTCATGACTGATGTTCCGCAACAAGCATGTTAATATAAGATGATTTTGAGATATTGTGCATGTTTGGAGTTGGTGGAAGGCAGATGAATCCAAACAATGTATCCATGAGTCCTGTGTTCAAATAGTTTCAAAATTATTGTTAGTTACATTAGACAAAATTCTGATTTGTATTTTATAATAGTTGGTATATTGCTGTTACTTATATTTTTGTTGATATTACCTTTAAGCTATAAGTTTTCATTATAAGAAAATTTTAATAATGGTTATACAATAGGATGCACTTAGAAAATGTTCCATTGGTTTCCAACAGGAAGTCTGATATGTTAATTTAGTAGAGCTTTTCTGATTGTGTGGTTATGAAGGGTCTTTTTTTTTTTTTTGTTTTTTGAAGCTTTACAATATCCTTCAAGAGCTGATTGAAATTGAATGAGATCTATGAATTTTGGTTTAATCTCAGAAATGGCCACTGTTTCTGTGAATCTCAGAAAAATTGTGATTACTCAGAACTTGTTCTGTACCCTTCATGTGCATACTACCAATTCTATTTACTTTGCTTAAATGGAATGTTCATTTAGTTTTTTGAACCTTTTGAATGAGACTGATCCTTCCCTTTACCCCGGGTATTCATACTGAATCTCGTGCAGTATGTTGGCTATGTAGCACTGAAGAAAACGGAAAGGCAGCTGTACACCCATGCTGTGAACATTTTATGTATCTTTCATGCGGCGTTTCAAACACATTTGTGATTCCCTAAATTCTCAGTGTTTGTTCTTTTCAGCAGTAATTCATGCGCAAAGTGTGTAAAGAAACTTTCTGTCTCGCATCTTTTGTCCCGAAGATTGTTTCCAATGAGAATGTTTCTCATCACAGTTGTCCTTTTGAAAGTATAATGATGCCATCCCAATCGACTTTTGGACATTTGACTTACACTTCTCCAATCATTCAGTTACTTTCTGTTTACCTCCTTATTGAACATGTTTGTTTGCATGTAAACTAGCACCTTTCAAATTCTTCCATGAACAGAATTATTTTATGTTAGGATATTTTCATTTCTTTGTATTGAGACATTAGTTTTTGAATGATATTCCTACCTGTACCTTTTGTTTTTCTAGTTGTTGTACAATTCAACTACCATGAGGAGGTTCAGTTCCATTTGTGAAGTGTTGTTCTACTACAAAATATCAAGTTTGTAGTTAGCAGAAACTTCCATGCATTGTTATCAACTTTTCATTTCTGAATCTGTCTCAGCATGTTGGGTGTGGCAGTCTGACTACTAAAGTTGTTAATTGTGATTTGTACATTATTACTCTTACTGTTACAGATAGTAGAGTCTTCTGAAATATTTTCTAAGGAGCATGTATTATTAAATTTTGATTGAAGATATTGCTCTTCCATTATAATAATAGACAATACATTATACACACTGTTCAGCATTGGTAACAATAATTAAAAACAATAATTTTAATTGAAATTAACATATCATTTGTGTTATGTCATCGAATGTGCAGTTTCTTTGCTGTGTTATTTGTTGTGAAATGATAATTGAAAGACTGTAAAGATCAATGATAGTGAATATTAATTTTTCTTGTATTTATTAATTCTTATAGAAGGTTCCTTTTCTGGCTTAAAAGAGAGTTCAGAAACATGAGCATCCTTGAACTTCTGTGTAACTTGTGTCACTCTCTGTTCGTTCTCATTGGTCTGTTCTTGAATTATTAGTCTGCAAGATTCTCACGACCTTTTTAATAAACTGCACATTTGGAGAGAGGTCTTGTTCCTTTCAAGTATCGGCCATTTATTTTTTTTAAGTCAAGTATTGAACTGTAAATTTAAGTTTACTTTTAAGTTTTGAGATGCTCTGTGGCACTCACTATGTCCCTCTGATCTCTCACAAGTCATGTGCCCATTAATGATTTTGGGAGTGTTATATTGCAATGAAATTCAACGGTTATTTGTTTAGTATGATCTCTAGAATTTGCACAAGAACTAGCATACAATGATCATTGCAGTGATCAATTTTTGTAAAACTCTCAGTGATTTTGAATGTACCCAGTGGAACCGCTATGGTCGCAAAACTACCTCTGAAGTGGGAAATCATTATGTAACTGCGTTTGGACCATTAGTGGTCCAAACGTTTTCCAAAGATGGGCTATGTTGAAAGTAGTGGTCAAAAGTATTAATTTTTCTGTACCCTTTTTCCATCAATGTTGTGGCTATTTTAAATGAGGGTGTAGCATTATTTTTTATAACATTTTGAGAAGTGCTCTTTGTGTGCTCTTCTTATGTGCAAGTAACAATTCAACTTATGTGTAGACTGGTACCCAATCTCTTTACATTTCTGGTAACAGAGTGTTTGTGAACTAACTTGGAGACTTGCACTATTTCATCTTTATTTACCCACACAGATAGGGTTGTGATAACTTTTGAAGATTGGTGCTCTGAAAGGTGTAGTCTTACAGGTTACTTGTTTGCCTCTGATTAAGCACAATTGGTTGCCCTATGCATTTTCTTTGACAATCCTCTAGAATGTATATCTGAAGTGCAGACCTCAGTATTAGAAACCATCTGGAGTCATCCATTCCACAAGTTGTCTGATTCGCCTCTCCACTTTCATTCCTCCTTCCCTGTGGGTTTTAAATTGTCATTTTTGTTTGCAAATGTACAGGACATCCTTTTCCTGCACCTAATCGTCCTAAAGCCTTTCCCACTCAAAATGAAGTATTTTAAGATGTGGAGGATCAAGCAATATTTGCTGTCCTTTAAAGTCATTTGGGCATGTACACCATTTTATTATCAACTTACCCGTAAATTCAGTTTTGGCTAGATTGTGTCGAAATTTACCAAAATTGGCATTGTACCTGCACTTTTGATTTAAGGTCGAGCAAGTGCATTAATATTTATCATTGATGCTGTGAGTGATGTGTGTAAATAAAACAAAAACAATATTTCGTTTCTTTGTTACAACTCCTTGTTGCGCGAAATTTTATTACTACATTTCCATTATTGCTGTTGAAGTGTTTTTGCTCACCTGTTTTATTATTGCTTCTGTTTAAGCGTAGGTTGTCAAAGGTGTTTACCCCTTTGACAACCATAAGGCCCATAGAGTTAGTAAAAGCAATTCAGATTTTCTGCTCCTTGCCAAGATTGTGCTGTGCTGTAAAATGTTCTAAGCAATAACAAAACTGGTGCTGTATTATTCATAGTTCTAAAAACAAATAAAACTATTAATGTAAAAGTTTGATATAAAATTTGTTAAATCTTCAGGAATTTTTTGTAAACGCCCGGAGCGTTTTTTGTTTTGGTCGATTTATATTTAGAGAGTGTATTTGTACGTAAACCCTGTCCCGGGCCCTTGTTTTGAACAAGGCACCCATATTGTCTGGACAATGAAAGCAGTAACTCTTACAATAAAATAAAACGTACCGGTCGACAACTCTTTTTCACTCATTTCCCGAGCCCTACTCAAACAGACTGAGAGTGACGATGCGCGGGGACTTCCCCAGCTCACTCCTCCTCCGAAGACTGCTCCGGCACGGTGGCCACGTGGCCGATGGCGCTGATAGCTGAGCACGACCGGCCCCGCACCTTGGGCCGGGAGAGGCGCTCCGCCTCCGTGGCCGTGACGGCGACCGTCACCGCCCGGATCGAGTCGGCCGCCGCCTGGTGGATGGTGCGGCCGAACACGAAGCTCAGGTCGGGCCAGTGCAGGCCGCCGCGGAGGAAGTCCAGCGTGGGCCGCGACGGGGACGGCGCTGCGGGCACGGCCTGGGGCACGGCCTGGGGCACGGCCTGGGGCACGGCCTGGGGCACGGCCTGGGGCACGGCCTGGGGCACGGCCTGGGGCACGGCCTGGGGCACGGCCTGGGGCACGGCCTGGGGCACGGCCTGGGGCACGGCCTGGGGCACGGTCCGGGGCACGGCCTGGGCACGGCCTGGGGCACGGCCTGGGGCACGGCCTGGGGCACGGCCTGGGGCACGGCCTGGGGCACGGTCCGGGGCACGGCCTGGGGCACGGCCTGGGGCACGGCCTGGGGCACGGCCTGGGGCACGGCCTGGGGCACGGTCCGGGGCACGGCCTGGGGCACGGCCTGGGGCACGGCCTGGGGCACGGCCTGGGGCACGGCCTGGGGCACGGCCTGGGGCACGGTCCGGGGCACGGCCTGGGGCACGGCCTGGGGCACGGCCTGGGGCACGGCCTGGGGCACGGTCCGGGGCACGGCCTCTGGAGCCGCAGCCGGCTGCTGTGCGGGCGCCTGCTGCTGCTGCTGCAACACGGAACAGGGTGAGGACGCCACGAACATCACCGCGCCGGAACCACTGCGGCCTCCACTCCGTTTCCCGTCGTCATACTAGCCGTCCGACGTTCGGTCGCCTTAGCGCCTGCGAACCTCAGGGTGGGCAGGCCCGCCGCGCGCCGCTGCCGGGCACACTGCCTACCCTGCCATTACCATTACCATTAAGGGCTAGACCACACATGATCGTATGCCATTTCGGGCCCGACACATGCCCGCCTGCACTGCAAAACGAGACATGGCCGTCCTTACTAAGGTGACACTTTATCCCGGCGAAGAGCCTCAAGCGACTACAAGCCCCCACTCGCAGTATGGCCAGTCAGGGTGAAGGAGTACATCCCCCCCGAGGGAGTTATGCAGGCCTCCACCCCGGAACAGCCTCTGCGGAGCACAACCGGTTCCGGTGCGGGCTACAGTCTTCGCTTTCCGCCACGCTGCGACACTGCTACGCTCACCTGGTGGCAGCGCGGGATGGCGTCCTTGGAGGGCGGCCGGAAGTGCACGGCGGGGCCCAGCAGAGCCCTGGCGATCTGGAACGGGCTGGACACGATCCTGACCAACGCTGTGCCCACGGCACTCTGCGTGGCCGCCACCGCGGTGGTGTCTCGAGACACTGGCGGTGGGGCCTGCCCCGCCACCGCCCTGGGCGGCGGCTCCTCCGCCTGCGCTTGTGCTGCAGGAGCAGCTACAGGCGCAGGTGCGGCTGCAGTCTCGCCGGCCGCTCCAGTGCCGGCAAGCGGCTGCGCGGCTGGAGCCGTCGTATCGCCGGCAGGCATTCCCTCTGGCCTTGCCGCGCTTGCCGCGCTTGCCGCCTGGTCGGGTGACACGTCTGCAGATGCAGGTCTGGGCGTCTCCCTCGCCTGGCCGGGCGGGACCCCACCCACACCCATGCCTTGAGCAGGCGTCACGTCTGCAGGTGGGGGCCTGGGCGCTTCTCTCGCTTGGTCCGGTGCAGCATCTGCGGGTAGGGCTGGCCCCATCCCCGTCACTACAGGTGGGACTGCCCCCGTCCGTGCCTCTTGAACAGGCGCGATGTCCGCAGGCGGCGCCTGACCCGTCCCAGAGGTTTGGCCAGGTGGAATCTGTGCGGATTGTCCAGCTGGAGCCGCTGGAGGCTTCACTTCTGCCTTTGCTGTTGGCGAGACGTCTGCAGGCTTCTGGTCTGGGGTTGGGGATCTTTCCGGCTCCGCAGCTTCCGCCACATGGCTCGGCGGCGCGGACACGGACACGGTCGACTCGAAGATGTCCACGCCTTGAGGGGAAACCGATTAGAGGCAATTTTAAGAGCCATAGAGGTTGCTGCCGTCAGGGTAAGCTTGTTTACCTCCAACCTCCTCTTCCTCCTCCTCCTCGTCCTCCGGCAAGGTGCCTCCCTGTCTCGGATCCTGCCCCACCCCTCCCGCTTCCCCCTCCCCCGCAGCGTGCGTGGTGTAGCGCTCCTCGAATGTACCGTCCTCCAGGTCCTCCAGGTCGCCGTCCTCCACCAGGTGCAACTCGCTCCTCTGCGGCTCCACCTGGCCACGCAGCGGAACACCGCGACTTAGCCACGTCATTCCGGGGAGTCCTTCTTCGCCTTGTCCCTCTCGCACTCTTTGGGCGAGCTGCAGGGGTGCGAGAGAGACAGAGCGTCGAAGCGTCCCACCTGCGCGGTGTAGAGCTCCTTGGCCGGGGCGGCGGCGGCGCCAGCGTTCCTGTCAATCTCCTCTCGAAGCGCCTTGACGTCTTCGTCCATGTCCTCCTCGTCGATAGACAGCATCCTGGGGGGCGAGACATCCCCCATGTCCTGCGCGGCCTCCCAGTCGCCGCCCGTGGCGCCCCCCAGCCCGTCGTCGCTTCCCAGGGCCTGCGGGGCCAGCAAGCAGTTGGACTCCTCGGCATGGCCGTGCATGTTGCATAGAGGTGCTCGCGGACGGGGAAGTGGTTACCGTCGGCACGGCGCCGTCATCGGGCATGAGCGGCCCCGACCCGCGGGAGCCTCGGGCGCGGTCGCCGCTCGGCCTGCGGCTGCCGAAGAAGGCGCACGTGCCCAGGTCCTCCTTGAAGTCCTCGCGCAGGCTGCGGCGCAGGTCGGCGGCTTCCATGCTCAGGGTCTTCTCCGCGTTGCGAAGGACGTCCTCGGACAGGGTCTTGTCGGCGTCGCGCAGGACGTCCCCGGACTGGTCCAAGCTCTCCGCCCCGCCTGACGGGACTGACGGGTAGCTCGGGGCGCTGACGTCACTCTGCGCGCCTCACCCAAAAACCTCAGTCGTTCAGCGGAGACACGTGCGAGGACTTGAAGCGGCTCGCCGTCGGGCCGACAGAGCCCCTCCCCTTACCTCCGCCAGACCCGAGTCCGCCGACCGGCGACTGCCGCCGCTGCAAGGCCCTGAAGTGGCGCCCACCGCCCCGACGGACGCCAGGGACGCCAGGGTGACGCGCGATCGGGAGCGCGAGCGCTGCACGCTGGAGCCGGACTTGCAGGCCGTGCCCGCGCTGGCCCGCTCCACGTCCTGCACACCTCCGCGTTACGCGACGCCCCACAGTGGGCCAGAAGCCGGTGGAGGCGGCCAAAACTCTAGACGCGTTTTGAGCTCCATAGTCGCTAAATGGGACTCGAACCGAACGTGTGAACCCACCAATCGATTCCTCGTTCGGAGAGCAATCCATTGGTGGGGGTCACACGTTCGGTTCGAGTCCCATTTAGCGACTCTGGAGCTCAAAACGCGTCTAGAGTTTCGGCCGCCTCCACCGGCTTCTGGCCCACTGTGCGCCCCGAGGCACTGCACGTACAACACCCTGAAGCTCGACCTGGCTGACCTGGCTGTGCGCGCGGGAGCTGGCCACCGAGTGCAGCGACACGATGTCCGAGTCGGAGCGCGAGCGGGTCGGCACGGGCCGCGCGGGGAGGGCGGCGGCGGAGCGCAGGCACTCGGAGGAGAAGGCGGGCCGCACGCGCAGGCACTCGGACTTGAGCACGCGCTGCTTGGTGGCGGCGCGGCCCTGGCCGCCCTGGCCCACGCCGTGGCCCAGCACGGCCCGCCACTCGTCCGCCAGGCGCGCGTCGGGCCGCGCCTCGGACGGGAACGTGACGAAGCGGCCGCGAGAAGGGTGGCCGTCCGTGTGGTGAGGCTCCTGTCGGCAGAACACTGCACACTGGTTGCGTCGCTCTGTCTCTGTCGCACTCATAGGCCCTCCGTGGGTGTGCGAGAGAGAGACAGTTCCCGGCCACCCGAACCAAAGCGCGCGAAGACACGCGGCGCGCACCTGGGCGCTCATGGGGACGATGGAGCCGTCGGACGACAGGGAGGCCGGCGCCGACGGCGTGCCCGTGCGCCGCCGCAGATCCCGGAGGCGGTGCAGGTCGGACACAAGCACCGAGTCCACGACGGGGCCCAGCGCGGCGCGCAGCAGCGCCAGCTCCCCCAGGGTGCCGGCCAGGTGCTCGCAGGACTCGGTGGGCGCGCGGCGCGCTAGGTCGTCCTGCAGACCGCGCCACGGCCAGGTCAAGGGTTGAGGATTGAGGCGCCGGTGGGCCCTTGCCGCCTTGCCGCCTTGCCCTTACCAGACAGGTGGCCACGGTGTGGTATTGGTCCGTGCTGCTGTCACTGGGCGGCCCGCCCCCGCCACCCCCGCCGCCGCCACCCCGGTGCGACGGCGCCACCCCCGCGCGCTGCTCGCGGTACCGCTGCACGTCGCGCGCCATCCGCTCCTGCCGCGGGGGACGGCTTGATCAGCTCGCACACCTCGCACAGCACACTGTCGTCCGAGACGGGCGCGACGTCGAGCCCCTCACCTGGCTGGCCACGAACATGCGCAGCTCCATGGCCATGGCGTCCACGTCGATGGGGCGGCGGTGCTGCTGCGCGAGCAGGCAGCACTCGTAGTTGCAGTCATGGCAAGGACACCTGTATCAAGCGCACGGTTCGAGACCCGCTCAGAGAGGGATGTTTCATTTCCAGGACTCACCTGGTCCCCCCTTGCTCGTTCCCGCCTGTCGTGTCCGGCACGCTGTTAGGGGTTGCCCCTGCCCCCGCCCCTCCAGCAACACCAGGGCCGTCTGGCGGCGAGTCCTCCTCCTCGAGGCCATCGACGCCTTCCTCCTCTACGTCCCGACGGTTGTCGCTCGACCTGCAACGGATCGCACGTTGAGAGGCGCGGGACTCGGCCTCGATCACGTCCACGATGGGTTGGCTATCGCGGCATCGCGGCCCGAACTCGGACTTGACGGTCTGCAGGCTGATTCCGCTCAGCGTTTTGTCGCTCTGCCTCTCTCGCACCTGTGCGGGATGCCCCATGAGCGCAAGAGAGACAGAGCAACGACAGCGATGAGCGGAATCGGCCGGCTTTATTTACCGCCCGTCCATGCTCCATGGCCTCCATGGCGTCTGCTACAAACTGCCTCCTCTTTCCATTGTCAGGCTGTCGGGCCCGCAGCCCCCGCGAGCCCCTGCAGCACGCGGTTGGTATCACCGGTTTCCCCTTTCTGCTGCACCTCCTGCGCCAGTTCGATTTTTTTTTTCATTTATCCTTTTCCCCTACTACTACCTAATTGAGGGTTTCCATTCCCTTGCCTTTGTAATAAGCATGGAAAGAAAACGCACGTGGACTTCCCTCGATGGATCAACCATGGGTCAACCAGTGGCAATCAAGGAAAACGATTCTCTTCTGGATACAAATAATCTGAACCGTCGAAAAATTAAACATTTCAAAACAACACACCCTTCGCATCGAATGCAATCTAGAATTTAGGGGTGGAATGGAGAAGTGGCCACGAGGCGGGAAGTTTGAAAGTGCCACCCTGCGAGCGCGCGAACAGCGGACGGTAGTCCAGTCCAAGATGGCGGCGCCCTATGCAACACGTTACATTTCCACGGCGTGCAATCGGACGCCCGGCTCGCTGTCTTGGGGCGGAAACAATTTAATTTGTTTTGGCGCTTGCAATAGCGTTGCCATCTATGACCCAGAGGTAGTTTCACATATCATTGCTCCTTGCTGCTGATTCCATGCGAAACGCACTGTGCAGGAGGTTATGTCCACCAAAACAGTGTTGTTTACTCGAGTTTACTTGGATGTCACACCACTGTTTTTAGTTTGTTTCTCTCTAATCCTTTGTCGTTTTCAAATTTTTTACAGCACAATTTCTTTTTGTTTTTGTTTGTGTCATGACAATGCTCCTGTCATTGACTGGAATAGCAGTCTGCCGTCCAATCGTATTCTACTACTTTATTTTGTGTTTCAGGCCGCTAAAATCACAGAAACGCTTAGCCATCACAAGGGCCGAGTGAACAGTGTCAAATGGGTCCAGCCAGGAAATTACAAATCAAAAGACCTATCCAGGATAGAAATTGTCTCTGCATCCTCAGACAAATCTGGCGTTGTTTGGTCGAAAGATGACACTGGGAATTTCATGCCGTCAGCTTTGCTGATAGGTTTGTCTCCTTAAACTTTGCTGAATAATTGTAAATTTTCTGTTAAGTTTCAAGAGCGTTTGACCATAATTCTGTTGGTTCTAGGTCATTCGGATGTTGTTACGCAAATAGATTCTATTTACTTGGATGACAAGATCAATTGCCCTGCACTTCTTGTGGTGACAGCATCTGCTGACTCCACTGTTAAACTATGGCTACGAAATACTGGAAGTAGTAAGTTGATTTTTTTCTCTGTCAAAGACAATATTAGATTGACTTTTAACTTATGTGGTTTTTTCATTTTATGTTTCCCTAGATGAATTGACTTGCATTCATACATTGCGTTCTGGAAGTGGCCTTTTTACAAGTGTGAAACTTTGTATTCTCCCAAGAAATAATGTTCCACTTCTTGCTGTAGCCTCTGATGATGCTAAAATTCATTTATACACAGTGAACGTAGAAATTCCCTCCGTTCATCTTGTTCATAATCTCACTGGTCATGAAGATTGGTTGCGCAGTCTTGACTTCGCCATTCATGGTAACAAAGTTTCTATATTTTGGTTCATGATGTTATGATGATACTTCTTGTTTTGTATCTTTTTAAATCTGTACACCCTGTGTTTCAAAAATGAGTTTTCACTCCCAGATGCCGGGGATGTATTGCTGGCCAGTGCAGGTCAAGATATGCTGATCCGAATTTGGCGCCTTTCGCCAAGGGATTCAGGAAACTGTGGCCATCACTCCTCATTTGACCCAAAGAAGGAAATCAAATTAGAAGAAGAAATATTTTCAATTGAGACCAGAGGGGTCACCTATCATTGGGCAGCAATTTTAGACTCAGTCCTTGCAGGTCATGAGGGATGGGTTTATTCTGTCTGCTGGCATCCAAGAGTTTGTGATAGTAAGGATAACTCTTAAATTGATTTTTGGCAATTTTTTGGACACAACTTGAAATAGTTTGATTTCTGATCATTTCCAGGCTCTGGAAAAGAAAATCAACCATTTTGTCTATTATCAGCATCTCTAGATAAAACAATGGTTGTATGGGCTCTTGGATCGGATGAAGCTGATTCTGTGTGGCTGGAGAAAGCTCGTGTGGGTGAAGTTGGTGGCAACACCCTAGGCTTTTATGGTTGTCAGTTTGCTCCTGACGGAAAATCAATTTTAGCTCATGGGTACCAAGGCTCGTTCCACTTATGGCATCACAGTGAGGTTTGTATACAATATGCTTTAAAATCAATGTCCTTTTAAAAACAAGGGTTCTTTTCACATTGCTTTCTTATGTCTCAGGATAGTGATATTTGGCTCCCAGGATTGACTGTTGGTGGCCACTTTGATGAGGTGACCGACTTGGATTGGGAACCCGATGGTGTGTTTTTGATAAGTGTTTCCGCTGATCAGACCAGCAGACTTCATGCTCCTTGGGTCCAAAGTGGAGGCAAAGTAAGAGTGCTCAAAAAGCAATCTGTACAAAGCTTCATTCTGCTCTTTTATTCCCTGTTAACCCACATGCTGGATTGCTCTAATTCTTAGGTTTCTTGGCATGAACTTGCAAGACCGCAGGTTCATGGTTATGATATTCAGTGCTTGGCAATACTTTCTCGCTACCAATATGCCTCTGGTGCAGAGGAGAAGGTGGTTCGACTTTTTAAAGCACCTGGGAACTTCATTGAAAATTTCCAGAGAATATGCTGCATTAAGGAAGATAATGTCGATCGTAAGTCAAAATAGATTCATTCATATTTGCTCATTGCGGTGACTAAAGTAAAAAAATGTGTTGCACAAATATTTATATCTTGTTTTGTTTTCCCTAGAGCTCTTGGCTGCTGCTCCAGCTGGGGCCTCTGTCCCTTCATTGGGGCTTTCCAACAAAGCTGTCTTTGATGGTGACACTGTTCTTTCAAGTGGGGATAGCAATCAAGCTGAATTTCCAGAAGGTTACTTCACTCCAGTTAGTTTAGCAGGTAAGATTTCAAAAACATGTATATGAATGAGTGTGCTCAAAATGTCAACGCAGTTCAACCCCCATTATTTATATCGTCAATTTTGTTCCAGAGCCCCCCAAAGAGGAAGATTTGCTTCAAAATACACTGTGGCCAGAAATACAGAAATTGTATGGACATGGCTATGAGTTATTTAGTTTAGCAGCCTCTCATGATGGGAAACTTCTAGTTTCTGCTTGCAAAGCATCGTCATCTCAACATGCCGCCATTATATTATGGTGAGTAGCAAATACTTACTTGTGACATGTCTCTGGAGTTTGCATTGCAATTTAGTAACACCCTTTTCCCTTATTTACAGGGATGCACTTAATTGGCAACAACTGCAAAAGCTGCATTCTCATGAATTAACTGTCACTCAGTTGTCCTTTTCTCCAAATGATAAGTTTATCTTAAGTGTGTCAAGAGATCGCTGTTGGAGTATTTTTGAGCGACAGGCAGATGGCACAAGTAGGTTGTAGGCTTTGCATGAATCTATTAATGTGGACTCTATTAAATCCATCTGATTTGTTTTTTTTTTTTTTTCATTGGTTTAGCTGCATCATACCAGTTATTGGCCTCAACCAACAAAAGTACCTGTATTCACACGCGCATCATTTGGAGTAGTGCGTGGACCCCAGACTCCAAATATTTCTCAACTGGTTCAAGGGAGGGAAAGATTGTGGTTTGGGGAGGAAATGATGTGCTTGAAGATAAATCAAATCTAGGATATTGGTCCTCTGCAGGAACACCTCTAATTTTGAAAGATTCTGTGACAAGTCTAGCATTTGCTCCTCAACTGAACCCTGGGAAAGGGTATCTACTGGCAGCTGGGCTTGAGGCGGGTAATATTCTCCTTTATACATGGAAGCGGGATCAAAGTGATCCCTGGACGCCTATTTTGTCACTCAATCAAAAGTATCCTTTGAAAAGCTTTACCAAATAATTTGTCACTGTTTCAAATTTTTATTTTGAGTCTTTTAGCATTTGTGGAATGCTCCTTAACTCTTTTCCCAGCCAAGCTCATCACTTAACTGTAAAGCAGTTATCTTTTCGGCCGCACATAGGTGAAGTTGGTGAACAAGAAAAGTCATCAACCTTACTTCTGGCAAGTGCTGGAGCTGATCACACTGTGAAGATCCATGCTCTTTCCTTCAACTACATTTGACATACAACTTCCTCTTGTCTATCTCATCTTTTTGTTTACTTACTTACATCTGTGATGAAATGCTTCATTGCTCTCTTTTACTCTTCATTCATTGAGAGGAAATTGAGTGAAACATCTGTTATTCCAGGTAGGGAATAAAGTTATTTTTCTCCCTGTTTCATCAATTTTTAAATTAGAATGTGTTGAATGGGTGTTACCACCAGATCTTTGAGACCAAATCTAGTCTGTATCACCAGAGTGGCTGACTGGAAATAGGAGAAAGAAGAGAAGGTGATAATGCGGATAATATATAAATTACACCTGATTGATTAGAGAAGATTTTGTTTTATTTTTACAACAAATTTAATTTAAACATGATGTTTATTAATGGGCACAAGAGAATGAGTAGTTTGTCCGCTAACATAATCAAAGGCAGTTGTAACAAAACGAAAAAAGAAATCTGGGCCTATGAATTATAATGGTCCCAATTTTGCAAAGGAAAAAAAAGAGAGAAAAGAGAAAAACACAGTCTAGATAATGTCAGAGAAAGTTTGTTAAAATATCTGCAAGCAATCCCTCCCTTCAATTTCTTTTGTAACTCCAGATCTGTCATGCAGCAAATGCTGATGACCTGCTGTCTATCATCACTCTCAGAACTATCCAACTAAAATGTGTTGTAATAGCACAGCTAGCAGAGCAGCTGGCTTCAGTGGACTACATATACATCGCTTTCCAGATCGCCTTGGGTGGGTGGTTGGCAATCTGAGTTGTGTCAGCAGGTTAACTTCAATAGCCCAACTGATCTTGTACAGTCAGAAAAACACTATAATAATCATGTGGTTCTCTCAAAATCTCATCAAGTTGTGTTTGGCTCCAGAGACTTTTATCAAACCAAGTTGAAGGGAGGAAGCTTACTTATTTTTTCATTTAAAAAAAAAGGAATTAAATAAAAGCTAGCGTAGCTACTACAGTTGTTTTAGTCATCTTCTGCTTGAGGACTTTAAAGTTAGCAAAACTAGGGTCACCTACTCTGATTCATATTTTCTTTAACAGTTTGTTTGGCATTGACATTTTGTAGACAGATAAACAAAAAACCCACAAGACTTATATTTTTTAATCTGTCCAAAACTTATCTGCATTGACACTCAGAATTTGTTTTTTTTTTTTTTTTTTAAAAAGAGAGAGAATTGCTTTTCTTTTGATTGAATCCAATGTAAATTATACATTTCCAGAAGTCAAAATGTTGCATATATGGGACAGTGTAGCTTTAATGACTGTTGGAAATCCATTAAAAGTCACATTTCTAACAAATGAACATAAGAAAGGTTTTGATAGATGATTTACATCTACATTCTATTCTCAGAGGAGAGCAGGCATAGCACCATTGGGTTTTCTAAATTTTTCTATATTTTTAAATAATCTTTTTACATCACATAATGCACAATCAGAACTACTATTTACAGAAGAATGAACGTAGCAGAACATAAGTGGATAATACAGCTGATTGTCCCTTGAAAGGTAGAATTGCACAGCAAAATCCCTTACCTAAGTTGAAATGTTTTTCTATGGGGGATTCTACTTGCTTACAACAGACATTGGTCAGCCCAAACAAAAAAGAGCTTGAAATTATCTATGCGAACAACATGAGACCAGGGATGGTTTCATGCATTGCAAACATCAATGGGATAAAAAATTATAAGAGGGAATCCCCTGCCATTAATTTACTCAAATGTTTCACTTAAATTAACAGCAGATTGATATTTCAGAGAGAAAATTAATGTTTAAAAATGTGAAGAAAAACTATTAGCTAGATCTAGCTCTAACAACTAAAATAATGCAAGTTTGAAATGTTGAGCCATCAATTTACAATTAGTGCAAAGTTTTCAAAAACTGTTGAGCATTTATAATTTAGTGGATCAGCAGACAAAGAGATTTGAAGATTCCACAACTCTTAACTTGAGTAGTTTAAGTACCCTACTTTTCTTCAGAAACAATTACCATTGGCCTACAGCAGACCACATTTAATGTGACTTCAGTTCCTACATGCAAACAGCATATTTCATAAAAATTAATATTTTTAAAACCTCTACCTCAGCTGGTTGTTTTGAAGTAAGCTTAGAGATAAGATTAGCTAGAAATTAAAATGTTTCAAATGAATGATGAATATAATTTAAATAAAATCTCTAATGGTAATGAATGAATGGAGATTCATGTTACTACACATACTCAATGAGAAAGCATAATAATGTGAGCTGACACAAGAAACCAAGTTTGTGCAGCCACATGTAAATACTCTAGCAAACTCCATAGGATTTTCAAATGTGAAACCAAGCCTTAGAAAAGAAACACTTTATAAAAAGGAGTCTATGAAGCATAAAGCTTCATGTGTCCCTTAACATCACATTTGTTTTCTGTCCTGTCATGTGAACACAATTTATGATGTTATTTTGGCAAATCATGGGGCTGTATATTTAGGACACTAAGTCTTGGTAGGGAAAACTTGGACACACAGCTGTCTTGTCATAATTACTGCTTACAAACACTCTAAATGTAGAGAAAACTTGCTGATGTAACGATGCCATCTTTACCTGAAATTCATTTGCTCATCATCTTATGTGCACTTCGTACCCTCTGAATGTGCTATATTGCAACCCAACATTCTCTCATTTCATCAGTCTTGTAAACATTTCTTATTTGGCCCCTACATCTTAAGAGTGCATGATATTTTTGTTTCATCGTTGCAGTTATGTTTCTTTTTGTACAAGACGCAAATGTTCCACTTTGTTGTGAACACAAGGGTTTGATGCTAAGATCAGGGCGTCCTGGCCGCTACAGGACATTTTCTGTGCCCTGTCATAGCATTCATGGATGTCTTCAGAAGCGCTCAGGCTCTTCTGGAGGCGGCTCAATCCTGTCCTATAGTCTCTGCGAGATGATATTGGCGATTCGGACACGGAAAGTCTCACGGCGTACAGCATAGACCAGCAGGATGGCCAAACCCACCAACACCATAGCAAGAGCATTTAGAATGAAAGCCTCTTCTGGCAGGCTGGAATATTTGTCACTGGAAGCAAAAGAGATAGACAACAGAAAGCTTAGAAACGTTAATGCAAGCCAAGCAAAACTTCAGAGTTTTGAATAAGTTTGTAAGGATAAATAATATATGAAGAAAGCAGAACACAAACACATTGGAAAACAAAAGCAACAGTATTAATCAAATCACGCACTCAACACACCAAACAAATAAGATATGTTAATAGCGACAGATCTGGCAAGAGAGTAGTCAGTGGCTTCCACTGGTCCAATTGTTAATTATAGCAAATTCAAATGATGATAATCAATTGGGAAATAAGTGCAACTTATTGGTGTTAGTTTATACAAGACAATTGGAAATGTCATTCAGCTTCATGCAATTATTATGGCAGCAAACTGGTATCTTTCACCAATCACCATTGGAACTGTTGGTGGAAAAAAGCAGTTAGTAAAAGATAGATCCAAAAGAAAAATTCTCCTTAAAGCTGACAGCAGATGGAGACACCCATTCTGTAGCTGCTAAGAGTACCCTGGAAAAACAAAATTCTCTTTATTAAGTGAGTTAAGGGCTCAGTGGGGTATAGTAGGAAAAAAATAATAAAAATTACATTTAAAAAAAATTTAATAATTATGGTTATTATTGTATTCATTACAATATACTCATATCCAAACATAAAAACAAATACAGCCATAAAGTAAATATAAGGTGGGCACAAAGGGATGTGAATTACTAAGAACACAAACAGAGTATTTACATAAGATATAACTGTTTGTAATGAGTGGAATGCTTCAAGCATAAACAAATGCTATGTCACACAGTGCTAACTCTCTCCACTACTTGAATGGGGAGGAAAGACAACTTTGTACAGAACAATTTGTCTCAATACTGTATCAGTTGTAAGGCTGCTATGGAGAGGGTGTTCAGGAAACATAAGAAATTCTTCTCATGCATTTATAAGGAAAGTTGTCCTGTTGTGGTGCAGGCCCTATCACATGGCAAAATATTTTTCATATAGAACCTCAGTGAGGACAACTTTGAACCATAATACTATGTTTGTCCACGTTTGGCACATACAGAGGGGCGCATCTTGCCTCATGCCAGAATAACTCCTAAAGATTGGCAAAGTTGAGTTGCTTATAAAATAAAACTAAGTGTTGATGAAAATAGAAACACGCTCTGCAGTTCACACTAGCACTATTGCCGACCGCATTGTCTTGCGCAAGTCCGAAAATATTTATTGATTTTGGCTTTCATTAACCTGAATCATTCTCACCAAAAGATTTGTTTAAAATGTGTAATTAAATTTTATTCAAGACCAGCCTAAACATAAACTTTTCTTTTTCCTGAAAATAAATACGAGATTACGTTGTACAGTATTTTTACCTCTCATTCTCTCTTAGTATTATTATTTAAAAAATTATTTAATACTTTGCTTCTAAAAACTACCAAGAGACATTCGCTTCCTCAAAACTTCACTTAAGTTTAAGAAAAATAGTATGTACAGCATTAAAATGAATACGTAAATGAGGGCATTTCAAACGGAAGGAAAAAGAGAGGTTGCCAAAAGGAGGACTGATAAAAAAATATTAAAAATATGACACTTGAGAAAGCAAATGATCCATCACATGATAGTTTTTCTCAATTCACACAATGGCTTATCTCTTTCACAAAGACTGCACGTACCACAAAGTAGTTCAACTCACCAACTAATCAGACTCTGAAAGAACCTCATTGCTCCTTGAATTGTGAAAGTAAGGAACAATTGGGAACACATGATAATAGTGAAAATAAAATTTAAAAAAAAACATTGAGGCCAATTTATATGCGGACTCGGGCATGAGGATAATACCAACTCATTCACTACCAGTTGGTCATTTTTGGATGGTTCATTTCTTTAAGAAAATAAAGCGCCACAATATTTTTCAGTCACTGACACAATAGATCTACATTTCACTTTGCACTGATACAAGTATGTGCCCGGAGTATCTGAACCCTTCACGCAACAAGGTGTAAGCCATGACAATAGCACCAGCCACTAAAGTCATTGCCAGGGCATTGATGATGATTGCCTCCTCCCCCAAATACGAGTAGGAAACCCTGAAAGCATGACAACGTTGCTCAATTAGTTGAAACAAAAAATCGGCAAGGATCCTAAAACTGGAATGAAAGCTGAAAACTATTAAATTAAATGATTAAGTTCTTCATCCGCCACTGCCACCTCATGCATTTAAAAATGAAAAAGAAATTGAGTCATTAATTGTAAACATAAATATGATACAGGAAACCTGAAGGCCTGCCCAACGGTGTAACAGTGCTTACCCAAGAGTAAAGATGGTCTTCTCTGTCAGTCCGGTGAGGCAGGTGGCAACGGCAAGCATGAATGTAAGGATTCCAAAGGTGGCATGGATTGGGACCAGGGAGGCACGGAATCCGGCAGTAGCATTCTCACAGCACAGCAGGATGAGGAAGCTGAAGAAGCCCACGACAAACTGTAAAACAAAGTCAACAGAGTTCATATAATTCCCCTTAAAACCAAATAAACCTGAGGTACCTCTTGAGAATTTCGAATAATTTTTGGGATTTACCTGAAGAGCAAACAGGCCCATGGTCACGAAGCCCATCCAGCTGTGCAAGGAATAGAAGTTGCGGATCGGAGGGTTGGCCAGGTTGTGGGAGTCCAGGACGGCGATGAAGCCCACCACCACACAGGGGACGGCCAGGGCGTGGAAGATGGTGTGGAACAGCTTGACGTAGATGCGGCGGCAGCAGCGGCCCACGCGGTACAGCAGCATGGCTAAGGTACAGAAAGCGACAACATGAGCAACAATGTCGACAATGTCTGCACGGTCTTACCGCGGTCGTGCGCCAACTTACAGAAACCGCTGAAGGTGATGAAGCCGGCGATCATGAGCACCGGGTGCAGATTGAACTCCAGGGTCGGGTTCTCGTTCCAGGCGAAGCCACCTCGGTAGTACAGCACCCAGAAGAGCACGAGCACCAGGGCACCGATGAGCAGGATGATGGCGAGCGCCACCACCAGCAGGAACTCGAACCAGTTCCCACACGCCCAACTGTTCTCATCGTCATAATTGCGATGCCTGCAACAGGAGCAAGGGGCGCCGCCGTTACGCACAGGCCGAGCACGTCGACCTGACCCTGGCCGTCAGGCACTGGTCAGGCCGGCCGGCCGGCATCGCATGCACACATCTCCAGGTCGCTTCTCAGAAAAAGTGTTGCGAGCAAAAAGATAAAGCGGCGAAGGCCAAACGGTCAGCTCGTCGTTGCACGGATCAATTTTCTTTTCCACGCGTGAATTTTGCTGGGGCGTCGGGGGAGGGGGAAGGACGACGCGGCTTGGTCCGACGCCACCCAAAGCCACAACGGTCAGGCGCTGCCGCTACCTCTGTGTCCCACCTCGCGGAGGTCTGCGAGGCCCTCTGCCTGGTGGTGGCCCGCTTGGCCGCGCTCCACCCGGCCAGGGCGAGGCGCGACGCCTGCCCGCGGCCGCTGCGTGCCCACTGCGTCGCGCGCACCCCCGTCGCCGTGCCCGTGGCGCCCCCGGGCCGCTTGGCGGTGCCGTGGCCGCGGAGCAGCGCGCTGGAGGGCGACGACGAGGCCGCGAGCCGGCCCAGCCCCCAGCGCTCCCTCGGCGCGGACGCCGAGACCACGCTGCTGCCGCTGCTGACCCCGCTGCTGGTGCCGCTGCCCGCGCTGCTTGCTGTGCAGCTGGAGCTGCTCGTGGCACAGCCGCCCACGTCGCCGAGGCTGCAGGACGGCCCCAGCGCCGCAGCCGCCGCGGGCAGCGTGGCCGTGGGTAGCGCCAGGTCCAGGATGTCGACGGGGGCCAGCTGCGCCGCGGGCCGCGCCGTCGGCGACATCGTCGGCGACCTCATGGCCGACCTCATGGGTTGCGCGGGAGGCTGCGCCACCGCCGGCACGGCCTGCGCGGCCTGGACGGGGGCGGCGCGATCTGGGGGAAGGGAGGGAGAGGCGGGGTGGGCGGGACGCGGACGTGCAGACGGGCAGTACGGGCAGGACAGGGCAATGCCCCGTGGCGGCGCGGAGGCGCGGCGGCGCAGGCTGCATCGCACTGCATCGGTGCAACGCGACGCCGCGAGTGCCTACGTTGCCTACACTGCCTGCTGCAGCGTGCGAGTGATGCCGGGGGAGATAGTGGACCTGCAGCCTGCAGGTCGAGTATGGGCTGCACGCTGTACTCGACTTGGAACTTTCCAATACGGGGGAAGGAGGAGAGGAGGGGCATCGAGGCGCACAGTGCTGCGCAGTGCCCGGTAGCACACTGCACACCGCGGCCGCCCGATAAATTCTCATTCTGCTTTCCCGCTTCCCCACCGCCACCGCCAGCCTTGCCGCCAGCGCGCTCAGGACGCCCAGCACACCCCTCACCAGTCTCGTATATTATTCTGGTCCGCTAATTCCACGCGCAAAACGTACCGTGGAGCAGGGCGCCCCCTTGGCCCCCGTGGTGGGGCTGCGGGGCGGGCGGGGCGACAGGGGCCGCGGGGGCATGGCCAGGGGCATGGCCAGGGGCATGGCCAGGGGGCGGGGGGCGCTCGGCCATCGCCCTGCAAGTTGGCTGGGTCTAGGGCACAGCCAGGCACCAGAGGCGCGGCGCAGTGCGATCCAACGACTGTGTGCTGCGCTGCCTGGCCCTACCGCCTTTGACGCCTGTGAGTCCTTCGTCCTTCGGCCGACGCGGCGGAACGAAAAGGGAACCCTGGGCCGCAACAATGCGGGGAAGGGGGCGGGGGAAACCAAAGGCCAGCAAAACCAAAGCACGAGCCGGCTTTGAACGCTTTGACTGCTTTTCGACGCTTTGACCGGCACGCGGCACGGCCATACGCAATGCCCCTCGCCGACTTGGCTTTACGACGGCCCGGGTTCAAACACTCGCGCCGCGTTCATTTTGGTTTATTTCTGGCCGCGCCTTCCGTGCCTTCCGCGCCTCTCCGCAACGCGCGTGCCCCGAGGGCGTGCCCAGGCGCGGCCCCCGAGAGACCGCCGTGGACACGCGTGGACATTGCAGCGCGCGGAGTGCTCTCTTGCACTCGTACGGGCGTCCCGCAGAGGTGCGAGAGAGACAGCCGGGAAGCACTGTTTGGAATTGGACTACAGCCCCACGGCCCGCGGTGCGCACGCCGGCCACGGTCAACGCCCCAGCGGGCCCAGTGGGCCTGCATGCCCGTGAGATAACCAACGGGCCATCCTCATCCTCACGGGGCCCAAGTCCATGCCCGTGGCCTCGCGCATGCCGCCGGCCCGCCCGCCGGCCCGCCCCAGCCAGTGTTGCTCCCCAAGGCCTGGGAAAAAGAAGCAGAAGCGCCCCACCGCGGACCGCGCTGGCCGAGGCGCTGGCCGACCTCAGCTGCAGTGCAGGCGTCGCAAGGCGTCGTTGCTCCGCACAGTGGGCCAGAAGACCGGTGGAGGCGGCCAAAACTCTGGACGCGTTTTGAGCTCCAGAGTCGCTAAATGGGGCTCGAACCCAACGTGTGACCCCACCAATGGATTGCTCTCCGAACGAGGAATCCATTGGTGGGGTCACACGTTCGGTTCGAGTCCCATTTAGCGACTCTGGAGCTCAAAACGCGTCTTTGGCCGCCTCCGGCCCACTGTGCTCCGTCTCCCTCGCACTCTAGGGCCGTTAGGGGTGCGAGGGGGACGGCACCGTTGGCTGAGGCTCGAGGGCCCAGGCCGGGCCCAGGCCGGGGGCGGCTCGAGGCTTGACAACCTTTCGGAGCGGACGGGACAGACAGGCCGGCACCGCGGCCGTGCCGGTTTCGCCACGCCGCAGCGCGCGCAGCCAGCACGTCCTAACGAGAGCAGCCACTTGGCGAGGGAGGCACGGCAAGGCAAGGCCGCCACGCAACCTGTTGCCACGAAAGCGCCACTTGTGTCGCCGTCGTCGTGTTCGAATCCCGCCCCAGCCACTTGTATTTTATTTTGTATTTTTTACCGCTCCTCGGCGCGGTGTATACGTACTCGGCACTGCGCGCGGTGGCCCCGGCCGCTGCACTGCCCGAGCGCCACGGCGTGCCGGCGTGCCGCGCGCAGCCCAAGAAAGGGCAAACGGCGAAGGGGCTCCAACGCTCGAACCTCGAGACTGAGACTCCGAGGCGGGGGAGGCCGCGCGCATCGCATCGCACCGTCTCGCGGTGCGCAGCGCGCAGCCGCCAATTTGGCGAATTTCAATCAACCGCACATCGCCCTCGTCACCCGGTCTCTGTCGCACTCAAGGGGCGTGCCCTATAAGTGCGAGAGAGACAGCGAATGAGGCTGCAGGAGCCTGGACCGCCGCCGCGTCCGCCGCGCACCCCGCTGCCCGCCGTTACTCCGAGCAGGCCGGGGCCCTGCCGGCCGGCCATGCGATCGGCAGAGAATGAGTCGTTACTTTGGAAAAGGGCGGGAAGGAACAATGAAGAAAAGGAAAGGCGCGGCGACGACGGTCCCCGGCGGCCAGTGCAGCCAGCCAGAGCAGCCAGCTGCAGCGCGGTGCGTGGTTTTGGCGCCAATAATCCCATGTGGTCCTTCCCTTCCCCGAGGCATGCTGCGATCAGCGAGTCGCCCGCCACGCAAAGTGGGAGGCGGACAAAACTCTAGACGCGTTTTGAGCTCCAGAGTCGCTAAATGGGACTCGAACCGAACGTGTGACCCCACCAATGGATTGCTCTCCGAACGAGGAATCCATTGGTGGGGTCACACGTTCGGTTCGAGGCCTGTTTAGCGACTCTGGAGCTCAAAACGCGTCTAGAGTTTTGTCCGCCTCCCACTTTGCGTGGCGGGCGACTCGCTGATCGCAGCATGCCTCGGGGAAGGGAAGGACCACATGGGATTATTGGCGCCAAAACCACGCACCGCGCTGCAGCTGGCTGCTGGTTTTGTCCGCCTGCACCGGTCTTCTGGTCCACTGTGCCACGCTAGACAACGCACCCGGGCCTGGCCGCCAAAAGCACCTTCCGCACCCCAGGAGGCAGAAGAAGGCCCCCCAGAGTCTCAGCTCGCGGCCAGGCCATAGCCAAGCCAACCGCGAAGATGAAGACCTCACAGACACGCCGCGCAACTGGCGCGCCACTGTAACTGCGGCCCGTCACCGCCGTCACCGCGCACCGCCTCGTCGTCGTCCCGTCCCGCCAGTCCTGTCGTGTCACTCGCGTGTCACTCGCGTGTCATGTCTCTCGCGGTGTCACTCCGCAGTGCGGCGTGTGCGGCCGGCCGGTCCGGCTGGCCAGGGCCTCGACGTCTCGACCGTCCCAACAGGTCCAACGCGGAGCACGGAGCACGCGGAGTGAGAGGGAGAAAGTGCCGCCTGCCGGCAAGCACGGCAAGCCTGCCGCCACCGGCGAGGCGACCATCGGCATCCCATTCCCTCCGCCCGCGAGTACCGAGTGTACCAGTGTACCGCCACCGCCGGCATTAATGTAATTATCGCGTGCCGGTTCAGTCGATGGCCGCAGCCCCGCAGCCCCGCAGGCCGTCTCTCTCGCACCGGGACGGGACGCCCCGTGGGTGCGAGGGGGACAGCGCGACGAAAACACGGCTCGGCGTCAGCCAGCTGGCCGCGCCCGGGCCGCGCCACACCTACGCGACGGCCTGCATCGCTTTTCCCGCCCGAGTCGCGAGGGAAGAGCGAGCGAGGGGGCATGAGGCCCGTTGGCCCGTTCCGTTTTTCTTTAATTTCTCTTCCGGCCAGACTCGTCGTCTTTGGTCTCGCTCCCCCGAAAGGCCCGAAGGCGGCGCGTCGATTGGCCGGACGGCGACTGGAACGCCACCACACCGCCAGGACCGCCAGGCGTGGGAACGCAGCCGTCTGATTCCGAGCACTGCTTTCGTCGCACTGTCTCTCTCGCACTCATGGGGCGGTCCTAGGGGTGCGAGAGAGACAGACCGACGAAGCAGTGTTCGGAATCAGACGGCAGCGCGGCGGCAGGCGAGGCGGCCTCCAGCGCCTCCTGCCCCGATCCGCCAAAACAAAGAGCGGACTGCAGGCAAAGTGAGCAACGCCTCGCTCTCTCTCGCACTCGTGGGCGTCTCGCTAGAGAACAAGAGAGACAGAACTACGAAGGCGACTCTAGGAATCGGGCGGTAGAGACCTAAACGCGGACGCGCGCTCAGGCAAGCTGGCGAGGTGAACACACAGACCGCGCTCAGCCGAGGCTGAGGCCGCGACGCCGGGACTGCTAAGCCGCGGGTTTGAGGTTGCACGGCTTCCGAGGAACCCTGGGGCCTGGACCGCCTGGACCCCACCGTCGGCGTCAGGGACGCGGAGCCGCGTCTAGGGCACGGCCTGCCTGCCTGCAACAGTTGACGGCGTGCTTCGCGCTTCGCGCTTCTCGGCCGAGCCCCGAGAGCTACTTGCAGGGCGTGGTCGCGGAGGCACGTGCGGCACACTGGCGGCGCACTGGCGGCACGCTCGGCACTGCCAGACGGTCACGTGGTCACGTGTCTCGGAGTCCCGGACAGTCCCGGACAGCCCACTGGTATGACTCGGCCGACGCGGCTGACTCGGCTTGCTCCGCTTCAGCGAATTGAATCGTTAGCCGCGGATAGCGGCCGATTGGGATTCGTTGTCGGCAGCGGGACGGAGACTGTTCTGCAGTCGCTCGCTCAGGACACCCTGTGCCGTGAGCGTGACAGAGACAGAGCGACGAAACAGCTGCCCAGAATCAGCCTGCAGGCGGACACCACACTGCAAATCCAAGTGTAGGACAGGTCGACACTTTAAGGCGTAGACCAGTTTGTCCTACGCTTGCAAGTGTCGACCAGCTGCGTCCGACGCCTGCATGTGTAGGACACTGTTTGTCCTACGGCAAATTACACTGAGTTTCCTATTGTGGCGCCACACTTCAGCCGTCGGACATGCTGCGGTCGACACTTGCAAGTGTTGGACAGTGTGTGGTCGACACTTCAAAGCGTCGGACACAACTGGTCGACACTTGCAAGCGTAGGACAAACTGGTCTACGCCTTAAAGTGTCGACCTGTCCTACACTTGCAGTGCAACCCCTAGTCACGTTTAGAGCTCTCGAGTCCTCAGTTGGAACTCGGCCGTAACACATGAGGCCATCTTTGGAATACCCTTCAGACGAGGACTATCCCCGGGTACCACGCTGGAGGTGCTAGGCGCGGCCAGACGGGTGCCCGCCTCAACTGGCGCCTCCATTGCCTCCGGTCCACTGCCTCTGTGACACTCTGACGGGGAGGTTGCGTCGCGAAGTCGCGACCTTGAGGCGCCTGGCTGAGGCGCGTCATGCGGACCGCGGACCGCCCCGCTTCCCAGGCGCGTCGCGCTGCTGCCCGCTGTCCGGGACTCCAGCACGCCCTTGTGCGCCTTGTGCGCCTTGTGCCCTGGCAGGCTGGCGGGCTCCGGCTAAAGAGCCTGGCGCGGCCTAGCGCCTTGTCCGCCGCACCGCGGCACCGCGGCGCTGCGAAGAGCCTTGATTGTCCGTCCGCGTGGCCGCGCCGTGCCGCGCCTTGCCGAGCCCAGCCGATCGCTTAGAAACCTCTAACGCCGTCCGCAGGCCCATTCTGAACAGCGCCGCGTTGCACAGTGGGCCAGAAGGCCAGTGGAGGCGGACAAAACTCTAGACGCGTTTTGAGCTCCAGAGTCGCTAAATGGGACTCGAACCGAACGTGTGACCCCACCAATGCATTCCTCGTTCGGAGAGCAATCTATTGGTGGGGTCACACGTTCGGTTCGAGGCCTGTTTAGCTACTCTGGAGCTCAAAATGCGTCTAGGATTTTGTCCGCCTCCACCGGTCTTCTGGCCCACTGTGCGTTGTCGCTCAGTCGCTCGCGCGCCCCCTTCGGCCCACGGAGAGGGAGAGACAGAGCGACCAGCCTCAAGGCAAAAAGATGCGAGAGCACGGAGAGACCTTCACGGACCTTCAGAAGAGCGCGGCGCACGGCGTGCACGCCGCGGTGGGCGAGGCGAGGCGAGGCGTTCTGACTGCTGCTGCTCTTCCCAGTGTGCGGCGCGGCTGCCAGTGTGGCTGCATCAGGCAGGCTGCTGCGGCGTCTCGGAAAAAAGGCGAGGCTCGCAGGTTGCGGTCAAAGGAGAGAGGAGGGGGAGGGGGCGTGGCGTGCCTTGACTCTGCCTTGGCTCCGTGCCGCCTCGCGCTACGCCGCTACGCTCTACGTTCTACCACCACGGTCTACCACCACAATCATGCAATTTAATTAGAAATTAATAGATTGTATAATGTTTTTCTTTATCTCTAGAGAAAAGCATAGACAGGGGCTGGGGCCTGGGGCTGCCGGCGCCGGCGGGAGATGGTTTTTCAGTCCTAGCTCCTAGGCCGCTGCAGTTAGAGGGGTATACTAAGCGAGTGGATTGTAGCTTAGACTGAGACCTACAATCGCCTCGCTTACTCTACCTATTTAATTTGAACGGTTTAGGACTTACAGCCGAAAAACCGTCCCCGGCCCATGCCTCACAGTGGCCGGCAGAGGCGCCCAGCGGCCGGGGCAGAGCCATAACGACGCGAGCGCCGCGCGGTGGCGGCCGGAGCAAGCACCAACTGCCGCCGCGAAAGGTAGTTCGGTTTTCGTGCATAGCTGATCCTCCATACCATTCTGCTCCGTGGTTCTACTACGACGCCGCACTGCCGCGCTGACCCGCGAGAGGCTAGCCCAGCCCAGGTCCGCCCGACCCACATCGTCCTGGCCGCGCCGTGGCCGTGGCGGGCCGGGCCGGGCCCTTCGTCAGGTTCAGCGACCTCCTCTCCGGATCCCGAAGACGCGAAGGAGGTCATGCCCGTCCCCGGCGTGGAGTCGCGGCGAGGAGTCGCGGCGCCGACGCCAGCCCGCTCGCCGCGGTCCTGGTCCTGGGCCCCTCGGCCCTCACTGTTTCGTCTGCGGGCTGCCTACCCGGCGCCAGCCAGGCTCATTGCAAATGGCGCTCTCCTCGCTGTCTCACTCGCACTCCAGGGCTTCCCGAAGGGGTGCGAGGGAGACAGATCGTCGGGGCTCTGCTAGGAAAGGGACTGCAGCCTTCGCGACAGCTGCGCGCTGCGCCGTTGGACTGCAGCCACGCATGCATTACCGCTCGCGCGACGCCGTCGCCGCACTGTTGCGCATGTCCGCTTCTGTTGACCGGCCTGGCGGGGCCTGGCAGGGCCTGGCGGGGCCTGGCGCACCGCGCTTTCCAAACAAACCAATAGCCCGGCCCATTCGTCGCTGTCCCTCTCGCACTCACGGAACATCCGGTAGGGTACCGCAGGGGTGCGAGAGGGACCGAGCCTTGCCGTGCAGGGCACGTCCTCGGTGCACAATGTCCCCCCGCGTCGGCCGTGCCGGCCGTGCCGGGTGAGAGTGACTGACAGACTGGGCGGCCGACTGGCGGCGCCGTCCCCGGGACAGTCCCGCCCCTCGCTTTCCAGGCGACGCGCGTCGCAGTGTGTATTTAAATCGGGTGTACCTGGCCTGGCTCGCCGTGCCGGACCGCGCCGGACGGTCGCGGCCATCGGGAAGCGAGCGCGCCGGCCCGGCAGAGCCAGGGCAGAGCGTTAAGCGTTAGTAGCTCCACTAGCGTCAGTCTCGTCCTCGTCCCGTCACGTCGTCACGTCCACGGCATGCTGAGCAGCCTAGGCCAGGCCAAGTCAGGCCAGGCCAAGTCAGGCCAAGTCAGGCCAGGCCAAGTCAGGCCAGGCCAAGTCAGGCCAGGCCAAGTCAGGCCAGGCCAAGTCAGGCCAGGCCAAGTCAGGCCAGGCCAAGTCAGGCCAGGCCAAGTCAGGCCAAGTCAGGCCAGGCCAAGTCAGGCCAGGCCAAGTCAGGCCAGGCCAAGTCAGGCCAGGCCAAGTCAGGCCAAGTCAGGCCAGGCCAAGTCAGGCCAGGCCAAGTCAGGCCAGGCCAAGTCAGGCCAGGCCAAGTCAGGCCAGGCCAAGTCAGGCCAGGCCAAGTCAGGCCAAGTCAGGCCAGGCCAAGTCAGGCCAGGCCAAGTCAGGCCAGGCCAAGTCAGGCCAGGCCAAGTCAGGCCAGGCTGCTCCGGTTCGGCCAGAGGCGTCAAAGGTCAAGGCCGAGCCGAGGCCGAGTGGAAGCCTCCCCAAGCCGACGAACAAGAAGCGGGCCGAGGCCCCGAGGCCCTTCATGCCCAAGCGAGAGGACCAGGAGGACGAAGCTGGCATGCCACGGGCAAGGCTGGCAAGGGGCTGCGGGGGCTCGGGTCGGGGCTTGGGGACACACCGGTGGGCTTTGGACGGTCTGGGGGCCCTTGTCGGCAGACGCGGCAGGGTCGGCTGGTGGCTCTGCTCGCTCTCGCTCTGCTGGTGGGCCAGGGCGGCCTGGTGGGCCTGGTGGGCCATTGCCGCCTGGCGGGCCTGGCGGGCCAGCTCGGCTTGCTGCGCCTTCCTAGCCGCGCTCGACGACGACCGGTGCAGAGAACGCGACGTGTCGGTCCAGCGGTCCGGGCTGACCGTAGGGCTGGCCGAAGGGCTGGACGCGCTCCCCGCCATGCCGACTCACCTGCAACAACAACAAAAACAACAAAGCGTGAGCGGCGAGCCGGGAACAACAATATCAACATCTCATCGACGTGCAAGTATGTCTCACTTCCTCATTTTTTCCCCCGCCCGTTTCCTCCTTTCTCTGTGGACTGACTCCGCACCGCGTTTCGCTCTGTCTCTCTCGCACCTGTGCGGAGCGCTCTCCTAGTGCGACAGAGACAGAGCGATGAAAGCGTTGTTCGGAATGGCTCGGCTGGCCGCGCTGCGTTTGCACTGCACCACTCTGCACTGCAGTCGGTCGGACGGATGAAAGGACGACAGGAATGTGCGGGGAAGGCGTGGCCTGGCGTGGCGGCGCACTCTCCACCAAGATGGCGTTGCCGCCGAACGCCGAGCGTCCCCGAAGACCGCGCCGTGCCACGCCAATGGGGCAACCGGCTTACCCTCCCGGTGACACGATTCGGCATTCGGCCAGTAGCAGCGCTAGCAGCGCTAGCAGCCCACCCGGGTTTCGCCACACCAACAAAAAGCCTCGCCGACTTACTCACTGATTCCGACTAGAGCTTCGGTCGCTCTGTCTCTCTCGCACTCACGGGGCGGTGCGCGAGTTGCGATAATTCCCGTCCCAGTCATCCAGCAGGCTGATTCAGAACAGTCGTCTCGTCGCTCTGTCTCTCTCGCACCCATGGCGCGCCCCGTAGGGGTGCGAGGGAGACAGAGCGACGGAACGACTGCCGGCGGTGCGGCACCACGCGGCACGCCCCCTGCTTTCCGCCTCTGTGGCTCGCGGCGGTGCGACGCGGCGTGGCCAGCCAAATGCCAAACGCGCACTTTGGCGCAACACGGGCGTAGCCGCGTGGCCGAGGCGGGGCCAAGCCGGCACTGGCCGCCCATTCACAAACGGCCGGACTGCTTTTCGATGAGAGAAAGAGAAACCGGCGGAGGAGGCGGCTTCGGGTGGCGGCACGGAACGCCGTGCGGGGTAGGCCGCCGGCCGCCAGGCCGTGCGCCTACGCGGGAGGGTTGCCTACCCGGGCCGCGGCAGGGGCTCGCGCGTCGCCAGGGAATCAGCGCGCAGAGGGCTATCTCTCTCTCTCTCTCTCTCTCTCTCTCTCTCTCTCTCTCTCTCTCTCTCTCTCTCTCTCTCTCTCTCTCTCTCTCTCTCTCTCTCTCTCTCTCTCTCTCTTTCTCTTTCTGTCTCTCTCTCTCCCCCCCTTCCTTGTACGGCACGGAGCCGTTGCACTCCAGCCGGGCAGACCTATTCCGAAGCTGACTCCGCCTCTCTCGCGCCCCAACGGGACACGCCGAGAGTGCGAGAGGGACAGAGCGTGCGGATTCACTCTGCAGATCGGGGCGGCGATGCCGCCGATGCTGGCGGGGAGATGCGACGCACCGCCAGACTTTCCCGACAACAACAACGAGACGCCCGGAGAGGAAGCGAACGAGACCCCAAAAAAGAGAAACCAAAAAAAAATTGAATCAAAATCGGGCCGGAACACGATCCGAAAACGAACGACTCGGGGCGCGATCATGCACGAAGTGGGGAAAAACAGAGGAACTCTGTCTGACTGGAGCCGGGGCACGGAGCAGCTCCTCCCCCCCCCCTCAACCGGTGCCCGCTTTTTGCAGGATCCGGTCGCTGTGCAGCGCAGCGCGGCAAACTGCACTTTTACTTGGATGGACCAAAACAGCGGCCCTGGCCAGGAGACGGCCAGTCGAGCCTACACTCTAAATGTAGGGTGTCCAGAAACTGGGCGCCTTTGTCGCCCGCCCCACTTTTTAGGGTGCCAAATGTCGCCCAGTTTCTGGGCACCTTTGTCGCCCAGTCTAGGGGTGGACAATCCACAAAGGAACCTGCCTTCACCCATGGCTCAGCAGCGACTAAGGTGCCAAAGGTGGCCAGAATCTGGGCACCTTAGTCACCCAGGAACTAGACACCTGTGCATCCTCTACCATGGGAGAGGGCCGGTTGCTGTATGATTTGTCCACGCCGAGACTGGGTGACAAAGGTGCCCAGAAACTGGGCGACATTTGGCACCCTAAAAAGTGGGGCGGGCGACAAAGGCGCCCAGTTGCTGGGCACCCCATATTTAGAGTGTAGCCGAGAGGGTTTGGAATCATCGAACAAGTGGCGGTGCCTGCCTCGATCGACGGACAACCCATATTGATTCGACTGAGTCCCATTCCAGGACTGTTTTCGCCCTCAAAACGCAACCAGAGTTGCCACCGCCCACACTGGTGCGGAGCGCTGCGCCGAGCCCTGCGCCTGATTCCGGAGGACCGTGTCGTCGCTCCGTCTCTCTCGCACCCCCACGCGACGCGCCGACGCGACGCGCCGACGCGCCACGAGAGCGAGGGAGACAGACAGCGACGCGGCGGAGCAAGGGGAGGGGTTTCCTGGTGACCGGCGCACAATCCCGAATCACGGCACGCCGTGCCACGCCGTGCACGGTCCTGGCCGCGATGATGCACCGGCGTGGCACGGCGTGGCACGGCGTGCCGGGGAAGGACGCGATCCGGTCGTCGCGGTCCGCTGCCGCTGCTGGCCGTCGAAATGACCACGGCCACAAAAACAACAACAACAAGGAAGAACAGACAGCCGGCGTCGTTTGGCCGTGCAAGTGCTGGCAGTGTCGTCGCCATCCGTTACCCGTTAGCGTCCAGTCCGGCTCCGCGGACGCGCCAGGACGCCAGGACGCCAGGACGCCAGTACACCTCCGCGCGCGACGGACGCAACGAGCTGCATTGGTCACTGTGTGGTGTGCCTGGTGTGCCCCACGGCGGCGACCCCCTCCCCTTCCTCTCCTCCAGCTTCTCGGCCAACATGGCCGTGGGCGTTTCGGCCAATTGCGCCTCATCAGATTCCCGCGGCGTGGCGCGGCGTGGCGTGGCGCGCGGCCGCGCCGACTTCGCGAGCGCCTCCACCACTACTTGGCTCTGCCGCGCTGCCCGTCTGTGTGTCATGCGGTCGGGCTTGGTCCTCGGCTTGGTCTGGTCGGGCCGCGAGCGCCGCCAGCGCCGCCAGCCAGGACTGCTAACGTAACAAGCACTCCGGCTCCAGGCGTCTCGCGCCTTCCAGCCTCCCAGCCTTCCAAACGGCGGACATTAGACGCAATACCACATGCAAAAGATGATTTGGTTTTTAATTGAGTTTTACTTCGTGACCTTTTTTTTGCAGCGTCCGAACGCTCACTGTTGACGGGGTACACATCAACGAATCGCTTTCATTCTGTCGTGTTGGCACTCCCTGTCGCCCGGCGGTGGAAGGCGGCGGATGAGATTCGCTCAAAGACAGGGACAGACGACCCGTCACTTCCTTTCCGCCTCGTCCAGGCCCATCCAGGCCGTCCAGCGTCAGTAGTAGCGCGGGGCATTTCGTTTTTGCGAGCCGGTGATAAGGGCGACGACAAGAACACCATCAGCACGAACCCGAGAAGCCGCTTCCTCGTCGCCGAGCTGTCGGTCGGGCCGATGGCAGCCAATGGCGGCGCCGTGCAGTGACGTCACCGCGCACACTCGCTGGTTGGCCCATGGGACTTGTGCACAATATATTCAGCGCGGCGAGGCATTCGCAGGTGGGGAGGAGGGGGGGGGGGCACGAGATTACACTGGCGCCGCGCACCGCGAGCTCCGCGAGCCTGGGTTCCGTCACGAGCAAGGAGCACAGCGAGCAGAGCATGGAGGGAGGGGCGGCAAGCGCGGAGCGAAGAGAAGACCCCGGATTGCCCGTCCCCGTCCCCGTGCTCCTCCAGGGCCTAGCTCGGCTCGGCTCGGCTCGGCTCGGCTCGGCTCGGCTCAGCTCAGCTCGACTCGGCTCGGCTCGGCTCAGCTCGGGTCACGACGGCGCCGCGACGCCTATGCAAGCCGAGAGATCCCGCTGCAACCGAACGCCGAGCGACGCCGAGCGACGCCGAGCGACGCGACGCCGAGTGCCGGTAGTGACCTCTGGCCGCCTCTGGCACATCAAGCAGGCCACTACCCTTCTGTCTCGACGGCACTGCCTTCCCTGCAGTGCACCGCGCACGCCGAGGAACGAACCGAACCGAAACGGCGAGGGGGGCCGCTATCTATCTATGCTCCACGCCACTGTTGTTTGGCTTTGGTGGCGAAGGGCTTGGCCCTGGGCCGCCCTGGGCCGGCCGTCCCTTCGGCCCTATCGGTCGACTAAATAAAATCCTGTCGAGATGAATACAGACGGACTCTCTCACTTCCTGCTCAGCCTGCCTGCTGCCACCGCGCTCTCCGCGCCCATGGTGCGTTTAGTTCACACACACACACACGCACACACACACACGCACACACACGCACACACACACACACACACACACACACACGCACGCGCACGCACGCGCGCACACACACACACACACACACACACACACACGCGCGCGCGCGCGCGGGGGCAATCATTATCACCCACAGCAGCCGGAACGGGCGGCCGGCCGGGCGTGGCTCGGAGCTGTCTATTTTCAATCGCAGCCCTCATCGGGACGGGGAGCGTCCGCAACGCCGCAATCACGGCATAGCGCTGTCTCTCTCGCACTCGTGGGGCGTCCCATGGAGGGCTGGGAGTGAGAGTGAGACAGAGACAGCGCGGGCAGCGCGACGAGGGCACTGTTTGGAATCGGTGCGCAGGGGCGCAGGAGCGCAGGGCGCTGCTCTTCTTCTAAAATTAGTTTAACGACAGCCCCCGTCTGGGGCGAGGCACCGAGGCACGCACCCAACTAGGAAATAATAAACACCGCAGGACGGCAAGCCTCGGCAAGCCTCGGCAAGCCTCGGCAAGACTGGCGGCGTTATGCGTTTCGTGTTTCGTGGCGGAGAGGCGGAGCAGGCCGACGCAGGGGAGGGGCACTGTTCGTTCCGCGGCAAAAAGCACACACGTGCACGCCGACTAAGTAATCGTGGGTGTCTTGCCGCCCCGCCGCGGCCCTGCCGGCCCTGCCGGCCCTCCTTGCCGGGGGACGTGGCGCCACGGCGCGCCGCGGACGCGAGTCCTTGACGGCGAGCTGCTGCTGG